GCACATCCATTGCCATTGCCACTTCCACTGCACTTTCATCTGGCAAAAGTACAAACAACAGAATAGAGGGGATTGAAACTTGGGCTCTTTTCTGCCTGCCACCCCAATGCTGTCATTGGCAACAGCATCCGAAAATTAAGCTGCTTAAATAAGCGACAATCTCAAGCAACTGAACAAGCAGCAGCACCAGGGAGTGCCTTGGGATGTCGTACAGGTACATTGGGGAGAGTACCGAGAGTACTTCCCTAACTAACTATTTCTCGTTTCTCCCTCTCTCTCTCTTTGGTTGGACTGTGAAAATGATAAAAGTTTTGTGCGTCTCGTCTCGTTTCGACTCTCTATTGCTTGCTATCTTTTCTTAATTCGAGTTGGGGGCCAGAAAGTTGTTCCGCTGTCAATGATGTGAACTTTTGAACTTTGATTGGTTGCCCCACACATGCAAACATTCAAAAAGGAGCTTATGCGTGTGTGTAGAATTTAATTTCAGATTCATGCTGAATTTTCATGCAGCTAAACTTGCAGCAATTAGATTAAAGATTTGTGAAAGGTAAAAGCAAACTTTCAATTCCATTAGTAATTTTCCCATGGAAGACTAAGGAACAAATTCCCTTTGCTAATTAAACAGGGCCAGTAAAAGAGTTTGTTTTAGTTAGAGATTTCTGAAAGAATCTCTCAGTAAAATAAGAGGAAATTCGTTTTATAAATTTAGTTTCAAATTTAAATTCATGGAAATCCTTTTTGCAACAGCACAAGAGAATGCGAGTTGCATTAAAAATCTGAATAACCAAGGAAATGCCATAAATACCCAAGCAGATCCTGCCCCGGAGCCTCATCCAAATGCCTTTTCCAGCTTCATTATGCTGCAGACAGACGACCCGTAGCCCGGGAGCCTGGGAGCTACACTCTAAAGCCCCTCCACTCTGAGTTAAGCCTCGGAATGAAAGGAGCAGAATGATGTTGCATGCAAATGAAATGGCACAACAAAATGGTAAAGCGCAGCAGCAGCTGTCGCACTAGCGCCTCTAAATGTCAGCTATTTATAGCAGCCGGCAAAGTCGGAGCCAAGTCCAAAGATACAAATCACTTTCACTAATTATGCCTTCAGTTGCGCCGCAAAATCTAATCGCCCACCGATGTCCGCCCCGACAAAACTTGTCCAAAGTGTAGAGGAGCTTAAAAGCAAAATGACGATGGCCCAGGCACACGCAGTACGGAAAAAAAGAGAACCACTAAAGCGAAAGTCAAAGTTGAGATGGAAAGCGGTGCGGAGTCAGACCCAGCTGTGGTCACGACCGCAAAGAGTAAATAAACTTCTGGACTGGACTTGTTTATCTCAGGAACAGGGGGACTGAGGGCTGCTGCTGGGGAACAGACTACTGCTGAAACTCTAGTAATAATTAAAGGACTCCTTGCATTCCGCTTTGAGCGTTCATCCCTCGTGTTGTTCTACCACACTCACGTGGCCATCACTATTTGCTTTGTGGCCAAAAGAGAACGTGAAAAAATAGAGTAACACAAGTGTAGCACACATTTGGGGGCGACAATTTCGGCCTGGTCGAGATAAAACGACCCGATAGCCAGCCATTTCTAAGAAGCAACCAACCCCAGCCATGTCTAGAGCACCGAAACCTCACCTGGACTGGCTGGACTGGCCTAGCCAGGCGCTCCCCGATCGAATTCCATTGCTGTTGCTGCTGTGTTGTTGTTTCGTTCTTGAAAGGTGTGCCACACCTGAGGTCACGAAAACGCTGCTGTCTCACAGTGTGTGGCTTAGTTTAATTAAAGTTTTCTTGAAAATTCGTCGTTTTCATTATGGCTTTATTTGAGGCACGACTCTCTTTCTCTCTCTTTTCTGTTTCGTTCATTTTTCTTGTCAGCAAACCAGTTGCAGCCAAATTTTGGCAACGTGGCACACATCTCCAACTAATTGCCAATGCAGCAGCAGCAGCAGCACTTGCAATTTAACTTTTCGTATCAGTTTTATTTTCATTTCTATATTTATTTTTCATTAACAAAAGTTAAATTTCCCGCCCCGCTGTGTGTGCGGTTTCTTTTTCTCTCTGTCTGCAAAGTTTTTGTCACCTAAATCATTTAGTACGAGTATATTGCTAAAGGGGGGCTGCCAGGCCAGACAACATTTAATAAAATGCAAGGTAAGCAAGCATCAGCAGCAGCCGGAGCAGCGGCAGCACCAGGCACCAACTTGATGGGATTCCACGCTGTTCATTAAACAACAAAAATAAAAGGAGAAGCAACCATAAGCTTTTGGTTCCACCTGCAGTGTTGTAAAATATTAATTTCTTGACACATCTTTTTTTGCAACGTGGAAAGTTCTATCGAAACTGAGACCAGAAAACCCCCTTTTAAAAAGACAACTTATCCAATAGATCCAGTAGAAGTTTTTCTATCTTAAAGTAAGTTCAATCAAGGCCGGGAAATCCTCCTACCAGCCCCTTAATTTGCCACTGCCTGTCTGGCTTTGGCATATTTTGGCGTTGTTTTCGCGCATTTGCCAATTTGCAACGTTGGAACGTTGTCTGCCGCCTGCCAGCAGGAGCTGTCGTCCCCGGTTTGCGGGTCCCGTCTATTACCCACACCCTGGCCCAATGATGATCGATGCGTGGAAGCGGACATCCAGAAATTATGTCCGCTGATAGCAGCACGCACGCACAGGCGCGTTGCCCGACGGCAAATGTCGATGTCGATGTCGATGTCCTTGTCCTTGGGCTGAGAGACAGAGAGAGAGCTCATGTGTTTGTGTATGCGGCTTGCATGGAAATTGGTAATATTCATTCAATTTATTGCCTAATTGCATTTACACTAACTAATGAAAACGCTCAAATGCCAAATAAAATGGGAAATTTATCAAATTCTCTCACGCGCCCTACACGTCTCCCGCGCCGCAGCAGCAGCAGTCTCGCGGTGTCTCGGGGCGAAATGAGTAATGGCAAATCAACGTCGCATTCTAGCCGGACGGAATGCCTGAAATGCTAATTTATAAAATGGTCGTCCGCTGATTCGACAGTGATAAAGAGTTGGCCACAGGCAACGGCACAGGCACTGCCATTGGGTTGGTCTTGGTCGGAATTAGGTGTGAAAATGTAATTTACGTCGAGATTGATGAAAAACTCGTTAGCCTGATTTTCGAGTGGTGGTTTACTCGTACGAGTAAGACTGCTGCTGTTGTTTTCTTTTGTAGCGACCTTGAGAGTGTCTACTGTCAAATAAATGTCCTGGCAAGTTTTTGCGGTCAGGGGTTTTGGCTTTGTTGGTGGTGCTGCTGTTGCCCAATCTGCAGGTGACAGGTGAAGGAAGAACTGGCTGCATTCTTGACTGGCGAAAACTTTCCAATTAGAGGTCTATAAAAAGTTTCCCCTTGCTGGCTGTTAAATAATTCAATTGTTTACCCAAACGATGCTCCCCATCAAAAGGATGTTTTGCACTTCGCTTCAAGAGATTTTCGTTCATGTACATAGATTTTGTTTTCCTTAACTTGCAGATGGCTTAATTAGTGCAACTTTCAGCTTTTGGCCAATAGTTGTTTTGCCTTGGCAGCATCTTTTCTATGGTCCTGTGCTAATTAGAAAAATATGGCCATGACTGTGGGTGCCTGCGTCTCTACGAAGGTGAAGGATATCCTGTACATTCTGTTTTCTGTTTGCCTTTTTCTAAAGAACACAAACATGAAGGCTTCCTTCTCCTCTCGCATAATCAAAGTGTGTGGTGTATAGGGCACGTGGCACAAAGGCAAACACGGAAACAACTTGTTGCAACTACAAGCAGCAGCAGCAACAACAAGGAGCACAAAGTGTTAACATGTGTCGACACCAAAGGACTGGCCCACCTGCAAGAGGCTCCGGAAGAGGACCTGGGCCGGGCTGGTCTGACAAGTGCGAGAGGACGGACGTTTGGTTCATATTATAAATAATTTATATTGTTTGCCCAACAGGTGAGGCGCGTAGACCCTAGCTCTTGGATGTTTGCCAAAGCTGAGGCTGTTCTTGGGGGGAAAAGAGTTGGAATTTGAGAATGAAATTAGATTTTATCAGCCCTGCACCACCCGGTCACCCTCATCAGCCTCAGGATCTTGTTAGCCAATCAGTTGGTAAACAACATTCAACAACATTGCACACACACAAACACACACACACAAAAACAAAGCACACAACTCGATTAAATGGACCCGCAGGAGTGTCCATTACAAGGCCAATCAACAACAACAATCACTTTTACATACAATACAAAATGTATGAGTGACTGTGTGCGCATGAACATATTGTAAACTGTACAAAGCACAATTGTTACACGCACAGACATGTCGAAACGAAACAAACAAACAAATAGCGAATGGGGAAAACAAAGTATAGGGAATAGGGAATGTTGGGGCACAGGGAAAGTAAAAGAGAGCAGAACAGAAAGAGAAACGCTCGCTGGGATAATTGAATTTCTGTCGCGCACAGCCGTTTCCGCTAAGCACTGGCAATCAGGCATGGGCACGGGGCCACCTAACCCACCCACCAAATCTAACTCAAGGACATTGCGAGTACCCACTCCTGAAACAATGTAATAGAGTGGCGGACGCAACAACAGAGGCTGTAAAGAGCCTAAATGGGGCGGGAAGCCTTTCATTTGGCAACTTTGTAAGCGGACTTCCATTCACAGTTCCCATTTGTGCTATTGGCTGGGGTGCGCGGTTGCGGCTGCGGGGGGCGTCTATGGCTTTGGCAATAGTCTATGTGCGGCGATAACGTTCTACATTGTTTCGGCCAAGTGTCATAATTGTTTTTGTTTCTACTCTCCATTTATTTAAAGCGATATTTCGTGAGGTCGTTGCCTTTAAAGGCAGAAAACACATACAAACATGGAGAAGTACATACAAGAGGCGGCACATAACTCATTCTGCGTTTTGATGATCGCAAAATAATAAAATACCCAACAAGTGAAACCCAATTAATTGATTGACACTTTCATTTTAGAATTTCAAGGATAAAACAACTCACCGGAGCTTGCACGCGTCTTGCAAAATGGCATCCATCACGGCTTATTGGCTCCTACAACAATTTTGACAAAGCTGCACGTTTTCCAGCCTTAATTACAGCTCCCGTTTTAACAATTAATGCTTGCGAGGTGGCTGCAGCACTGACGATCGCGAAAATGCATCCCAAACACATTAAAGATAGCCATTGCAATTGTAATTTTGCAATTTATTTCGCAAAGAAAACACAAGAAAGACACGCGTTCGCGATCTTCCGATTCATCGGTATAATCTATCGATACTCGAATTACTCGATAACAGAAGAACAGGTTCAACCTGAAGCGCGATATTAGTTGCTAAAATGAATTTAAACTATATATTAGCGATAATTACACGAGGTTATATATGTGCATACATTTGAATTTGCATTAGTTAGCTAACAAGCGTAAGCAAATGATCGGTGGAACCAAACCAGTTGGAAACACCTGTAGCCCTGGTAGCCGGCGATCAGCTGTTAATGTTTAATTTGTTTACGTTTTAACTGCCATATTTCCAATAATGCAACGTTTTGTAAAGATATTTGGCCAACAAAAATGCAAAGTGATTGGCATGATACACGTGGACGCGCTGCCAGGTGAGCCAAGGACATAAATGCAAACCGAATGTCTCTAATATGGAGAAACAATGTCAGGAACGCCTCGATATGCCGGCAACTGGAAACAGACGATTGAAAAGGCCATATATGAGGCGAATCTCTACAAGCGCCACCAGCTGGTATGCCATACAGTCTGCCTATTGTTTCGTTCTAATTTTAGCCTCATTTGAAGGATGCCGTACTCATCGAGAATATGCATGACATTCCGTATGTGCCGGAACGCCTTCTGGGTGCGGAAATAGTCGCTTGCATGACGCGCCTGGGACAGGCGGTGCGGGATGTGATCCCCAAGGCAACTCCCTGCGGTGTACAGGTTCTAGCCTGTGGCAACAAGCAGGCTCTGGCCATAGCCAAGGCCAGCCAACTGCAGTTTATACGCAGCGAAGGCTTCGTATTTGGCCATGTGGCCGACGAGGGATATACGGATGCGTGTGCTGGAGATCTGCTGCGTTACCGCAAGCTTATCGATGCGGAAGATGTGTTGATTTTCACGGATCTGAAGAAGAAGCACAGCTCACATGCCATAACGTCGGATGTCAGTCTGCTGGAGACGGCGCATGCAGCGGAGTTCTTTCTCACCGATGGAATTGTCATCACAGGCACAGCAACAGGCCATGCAGCGAGTCCAGAAGATCTGCAGGAGTTGTCGGGCCGCGTAAAGGTGCCGCTGTTGATTGGTTCGGGCGTGACCAAGGATAACATTGGACTGTACTTCAATGACGCTCATGCAGTCATAATTGGCTCGCATTTTAAGAGCCACGGAAGCTGGCTGGAAGAGATTAGCGAGGAGGCGGTGGGTAGTTTCATGCGTAAAGTCTGCGAGCTGCGGCAGCCGAGTTGATTTTAATTGTAAATTTGTTTATTGATGATGATGAAAAAAGATAAATGCGAAATGTCCATGATTCTGTGTTTCCAGATGACAATCTAGAATAAATTGGCAAAGAAATCGTAAATGCGTTCACGCAAGGATGTCACCTTGGGTGCGACTTCAGTGCTGCTTGAGAAGACAAAAGGTTTCTGCTCATTAACTGCCGAGAGCTCGTCCAAGGTGTCATCGAACTTGACACGCTTTCTTTGCGGCGGAGAGAGCAACTCCTCTTGGGCCTGCTTCCCTGCAAACATGTTCTCCCCATTGAACAGATCCTCGCGCTTCACCACTGTGGGTATGGTGTTGTCCACATTGTGTGCCCGAAAGTACGATTTAGAGTCCGAGTAGCGACTGGCAAAGCCGTAGGTGGGATCGTGATCGGTGCTCGTAGCGGGCAGATTGCTGCGTTTGAGTATGCCCCGCACATTGGCCACCTTATCGCCTGTGGCTATCTTTTTGTACAGCTTGGATATGCGATTTTCCTTGCAGACGGACTCTCTCACTGCCCCTGGCTGATGGCGCAACTGAACAGATGGCAATGGTGGTGGTGGTGGCGGCGGTGCCATGCCCTTCGCTTTGTTGTATGTAGATTTTCCAATGTTGCCGCCCGTGTTTGGTGTTCGTAGAATGGCGCTGGGCACCTTGCGCTTGCGTGGAAAGCAAGCAGTATCCTCCGTCTCATCCTCTGAGTCCGTGCTGCGATTCTTGTTGCGGAAAACCGTCTCGTACTCCTAGAATAAATATGAAACGGGTTAAGCTTCTACCTGAACTCATTAAACTTTTGATTACTCACGCATTTGCGCTTGTTGTTGGGACTTAGTACATAATCAGCTCCGAACTTCTTCATGTCTTTTTTGCGTATGGGTGTCCGCTTGCTGGAGTCCTTGCGCAGCGTCTTGCGGCACTGCACATGCATATCAATGGCATCGCGTATGAAACCAACCCAGGCGCGGCACAGCTGCAAATCTCCACTACCAAAGATGATGCCATCGTTCTGGCAAGTCAATTTGAAATTTCCCGGCAACATCTCAAACACTTTGCACTTCTTCAGCGGAAATATGCAACAGCATTCGAGTGAGTTCTCCACCACGGTGTTTGGTGCACGATCCTTGACCAACTTGCAGTACATAAAGATGTCCGACATGAGCACACAGTACCGCTTGATTTCCGTGCCCTTGTGGGTGATCTTTTGGAGAATGCCTTCCTTGATCACTCTGCGTGAGGGCTTCACAATGTTTGGTGTGCGATTCACCAGCGAGTTCTGCAAGTGGATGAGGTACTGGGTCACCTCTTGCTCCTCCACACACGCATTTATGTGCGCGGCCGTGGCATCGATCTCTTTAACAGATTCTGACAGGGAAAGTTAATTATAAACCGGTGCAAATTAGGTTTCCCGCTTATTCTTACCCTTCAACAGCTTGTAGTCGGCATCGGCTGGACTCGTGTACAGTAGCACCTGTTCCAGCAACAGCTTGTAGCGCGGCACACGCTGTATGGGCACGATCATCAATGAATTTAGCTTCCGCTGCACCTCCGGACGACTCTCGGTTTGCTCCAGAAACTTTCTAAACACGGGATTCTTGAGGATCAAATCCTGTATGATAAACAGTGCACCACGATAGTCAAAGGCGTAGACCGAATACAGCTTGAAGAACGGTGCCATCTTGATGAAGGCATGCGCCACATTCTCCATGTTGGCCTCCAGCTCCCGCAGAAACTCTCCATTCAAATTGTGGATCATCTCAATCTGTCCGAAGAGCAGCGTGTGGTTGGAGCAGTCGATGATGGCTTGCTCCTTAAGCGGACGCACGAAATAGTTCATCAGCAGCTCCAGTTGCTCCAGGTAGGACTTTTCCGACGTGATGATCTCCTGTATGGCCTGCAGACGGAAGCCCATGCGCTTGCCTGCATCTGGATTGGGTGAGCCAATCGGACTGCTGGAGGGGCTGTCCAGCATGGAGCACACTGGAATTAAACACAAACAATTAAGAAAACGCCTTGCAAATGTTGCAGCCTTTGTTCATTACCTTTCCTGCGCGACTTGGCTGTGAGCAAATTTCTTTCTTGCAAAACTTGCCGCAACTCTCGGCTGAAACTGAGCGGTGTATGCGGCGAGGCTGCACGGCTATTGCCAAAGATCTTTTGCTTGGGTGTGTACATTTTTAACTTCAATTTGCACAAAGAAAATACAAGCAAAAACCGACGCCAAACAACACCTGTCTTTTCAAACAACGCCCGCTGTGGCGTCCGATAAGTGGGCCGGCTGCCCTGGTTTGCTTGGATTATCGATGAAAAAGTATCAAAAATAGGGTGACCGTTTCTGGAAATGACATAAATGGAACAAATTTGCTAAAACAACAACAATTATTTATTTTTATACGTGGTTCGTGGCTCGTTTCGTGAATTTGTATGTTGTTGGAGCTTTTGCTGCACCGAAATGCATGCGAAGCTGAGTGGGATGGAGTTGCGCATAGCGACGCGTCTAAATGAAGAGATCGGCAAGGATGCCAGCCGGCTGCATCGAGCCAGTCTAGTGGTTACTCACTACAAGGAGCGGCTCCAGGCCTTGTCCCAGACTGTAAGTGGGAAAGTTTACACATGTACATGGGTTTAATGAGAGTCCCTCCCATACAGCTAGACTATGAGGACCCACAGAATGTTTCCTGCTACAAATCTGCCTTCCAGTGCCAGCAACAAGTATGCGAAAGCATTGACTTTGAGCTGCAAAAACTGGCCCAGTTTAGGGGGAAGCTGCAGCAGAAACTGCTGGAGTGCCAGCCCACGCTGGACGCCGTGGGCGAAGATCTCCAGCAAGTGCGTCAGCTGCAGCGTCTTTCGCAGTACTTGCGCCTGGTGCAGGATGTCCAGGAGATCAGCGGGGATCTGAACAGCAGCATCAATTGCAAGGACGAGGACAAGCTGGTCAACTTGTATCTCACACTCTACGAAAGCAACGACTACGAGCACAGTGTGGTGGGACGTCTGCATGCCGTCCAGGCACACTCGCTGCAATCCTACGCCGAACGCACTGCCATCTACTGGCACAAGCTGATCCTCACGCGCCTCTCCAGCGAGTTTGAGGCCGTTCTCAAGAGCATGCGATGGGCGCACATGGAGCAGCAAGCATTAAACTATTCTCCCACTCGGGACACCGAAAAGGCACAACTGCTGGCGGAGTACATGTTCCTCATCAAATCCCCTGCAGAAGAGCACGCGCCCTTGCAGAGCATCACGCCGAGCATTGTCTGCCAGCCCATCAGCCAGGTGGTTCAGCTGCTGCTGGCACCCTATCGCCAGCGTTTCACGTATCACTTCACGGGCACACGCCAGACAAATCGATTGGACAAGCCCGAATGGTTCTACACACAGATTCTCAACTGGGGCAAGGAGACTCATTTCTTTGTGGGCAAAACATTCCAACCAGCAGCATTAAGAGCCGGTAAACTGGACTACAATTTGAGGGTAAGTCCGCTATACTCCCCTCTAGCTGTAGTATCTCATATGTGATTCCATTGCAGCTTGAATTCATGCGAGGTTTGGTGCAGTTGACCATCGAAAAACTGGCCGTGGACATTGAGCAGATTGCCCAGGACGAGATCCTCTTTGCTCACCTGCTGGATGAGACCTTGGCCTTTGAGGCGGAGCTGCGTGAGACGTTCGGCTATCCGGCCAGTTTTCCCAGCGCCATTTCCGTCATCACACAGCCCATGTATCTGCTTCGCTGGATTTCCTTGGAGGAGAGATGTATGTTGGAAATTCTCAGTTTATGTTTATGGTTTATGCTCACAGTCTTAGTCTTCTAATCCGCAGTCTGTGCGGAGAGAATGGATGACATACTGATGGCGGAGTCGCCCTTCCAATTGATTGATCCGAACACCTTCGAGGATGACTTGAAGATACCGAGGTGTGCCGATCAGTTTATGCGACTGCTGGAGGCGATCAAGGATCGATATTATGGATTGATACAACCGGGACACCAATTGCAGTTCCTGCAGCTGCAGCTCGAGCTGATCGACAGCTTTCGGCGGCGTCTGGTGCAGCTGCACAGCAGCGGCGACGTGGGCAGCATTCCCGTGCTGAATGCCATGAACTATCTGATCATGGTGCTGCGCGAGTGGGGGGAGAATGTGCATTATCTGCATTTACATTCAGCACTGGCGGGGCCCAATGCGACGGAGATCCATTCGGTGTTTGACCATGCCGTCTCCGAGCTGGAGCACTGGTCGCGGCAGCTTATGCGGAACCTGGCCACGCGCGAGACACACGAAATGAAGGCCAGGTCGATGAACTATCGCCATGACTGCTGGCCAACTATGCCGGAACACAACTCCAAGGAGCCCTTCATACTCTCTTCCAGTGGCGGCGAGATGTTCCAGGTGCTGGTCACCATGCTCCACAACCTCGAGCGCGAACTGTCCGCCAATTTGTTTAATCAGACGCTGCGACTGATTGCCCGCACACTCGATGACTTCATGCTCGAGAGCATGGTCATGAACACAAAGTTCTCTCCCGCTGGTGCAGCGCAATTCAATTACGATATGACGCGGAATTTATTCGCCCTGTTCGGCCAGTATACGCGACGCCCAGAGCTACTCTTCAAGAGGTGAGTCATGTGCGGAGCTACTGTAAACACGAAATCTGACACTCGACTTTCATTTCACTAGAATTCACGATGCGACCAAATTGCTGACGGCAGCGCGGGGGACGGCATTGCTGCTACTGGAGACGCTGCGCAGTAATCAATCGGTGGAGGAAAAAACGAAACCGCTGAAGGAACTGCAGGTGCTCAGCCTGGACAGTAGGCAGTGCATTGAGGTGCTGGAACGAAGGGTAGACATTAAAATGTTTTAAGAATTAGGGCAAACAAATTAACTCTTGAATTCCAAACGAGATGGATTAGGTTTCGATTTTATTAGCAATGCAAACTTTTTTCTTTGCTGGGATTTTTAAGTTTAATTTGTAAAACGCTGACACAATAAACATGCGGTAACTGTAATAATAAATTGTTCTAAAAATACATAGCGTAAAATTAACATATATTTAACGCTGTGATCAGCCCTGAAGCACCCAGGAGATGATGAGTGGAATTCATTCAATCACAATCTGGGTGAATATCAAGGCTGATCAGGGCGTATTGTATATAATATCGTTTGACAAAACAATTGCAGTTAGTGTATATCAATTCGCACATCACACTTTCATCATCACATCGTGGAACAAGATCATCGACTCTGTTCGAGCGTTGCCCGCAGGGGACCAACTTTATGCCTATACTAAGTAACCGATAATAAATCCAAATCTGCGGGCCGTTTCTACTTGCCTGACTCAGCCGTCTATTCGAAATGCTGGTAGGTTTGTGCGGTCACATACTGTGCCCGCTGCTGTGGCGTCATGTTTAGATTTCCCTTCTGCTTCCTGTCGTACGCCCAGATGACTCCCGTGGCGATCAGCGCAACGGTCAGCCAACCCATGAAGAAGAGCTGCACCCATGTGTGCTCGTTGTTGCTGTGATCCACAATGATGCCAGCCAGGATGGTGATGACGGCCAGGCCGAGATTCTGAATGGACTGGCAAAATCCGTAGGCAGTGCCTAGTTGATACTCCGGAATGATGAGGGCCACCAGGGGCCACAAGCTGGCAGCCAGCATGGAATAGGACAGGCCCATTATGACCATGCCCAGGTAGGGTGTAAGATCCGTGAATGTCAACAGGGCATGGGCTCCAATGGTGGTCAGAGTCGCCGTAAACACCCAGGTGACATTGCGTCCCACCTTGTCGATGATGAAGCCAAACACAGGCGACGAGACGGCAGCAATCAGGTAAACCAACGAGTCCACAGTGTTGGCCTCTGACGGCGTCAGGTTGAAGCGGTCCATGAAGAACTTCTGGCCCAGGGCAATGAATGGAAAGATTGCAACGTAGTAGGCGACGCAAATGATCGAAACCATCCAGAATGGGGGCTTGAATGTGAAGATGTCGGTGAGCTTCGGCACCTGACCAGATGGGTTGCTGTTCCGCTGCAGAATCCGCTCCGCCCGCTTGTCCATAAAGCCCAGAACGAGAGCGCAGATCAGTGACATCACACAGGTGAGTGTGGCCAGCAGCAGGACGACTCCGAGGGCACTGTTATCTTGATAGAACTTGCTGACGTAATTGTAGATGGGCTGCATAACCCAGAAGTTGACGGTGCTGCCGAAACGGGCCACAGACAACTGCAGTCCAAAGACCATGTTCAGCTCCTTGCCCTTGAACCAGAGCACGGCATAGCTGTTCTGGGCCACGGCCAACGACTCTGCGCCAATGCCAAAGATAAAGCGACCCAAAATCATCAGCCAGAAGGCATTCAGCAGGGCGCCGCTGGCAAAGATCACCTGGCCGACGAGCAGGATCAGCATGTAAATAATTGTTCCAAGTCGTATTCCAAACACGCGATCGATCAGAAATCCACCCAGGAAGCACAGGACCACATTGGGCCAGGAGTAGATCGAGTAGATGAGCGTAAACTGTGTGGAGCTCAGGTGCAGATCCCGCTTGAAGATGTCCTGCAGTGCGCCGGGATTGTCGTAACAGAAGTACGAGCCAAAGCCGAGCAGGCACATGAAGACCAAGGCCATGAAGCGATGGCTGGTGCTCGAGGGCATGCAGCAGCCACCGGAGGGCAGCGACAGCTCATTATCCTGCCGGCGATCTCGAGGCATGATCGTTTGATCTGCCTCCTCCTCTGGCCGTGACACCTCCTCGTTATCCACGATGCGTTCCTCGTCCTCTCGCGCCATGACTAAGCAGCTTGCCGTCGTCTGCCGTACTGGTCAATGGATAGTACGGACGCCCGCAGATAGGGCGTATTATCGAATATCGTTGAAAGTTGTTGTTTCGCCGTTTCAGATTTCCTCTTTCAGATGTTTTTTGCTGCCACTGCAAAATAATTGTATCACGCTATGTCCGTCCAACTCTTTTGCTTTGTCTGCTTTCCACTGGGTTATCTCTCTCGACTCGCTGTTTTTTTTTTTTGTCTCTGTTTACTGTACTCAGACTCGAACTCGGTACCGTACCCTTTGTCTAATGCCACTGCGTATTTTGTAGTTGTAGTTGTGAGTTCAGTGGTTATCAACTTTTCACAGTCCACTTGCAACTTAAATTGTGTTTAATATGCAAATGTCAATGTGTTTGCGAGTGTGACGTGTGCACCCGCACTTTATTGACGCTCAAATCACTATATTGTTGTCGATTTCTCTCTGCGGACTGTCTGCTAATTAATTTTATTTATATATTATATATGTGTGACCAACACATACACAAGTGCACAGCTGTTGCACCGATATCGATAAGTGCTCATCGATAGATATTGTTAAAATTAATATTAGTAATTAAATTCATGATATATTTCTTTTTCTTGTATTGTATTTAGCTTATTTTAAGCCATAATACACTGATTTTCTAGCTTAAACATCTTTTTGAAAGTTTTCTTGGTTGAGTTGACAACCCTTATCGATTAACGCCGTGTTTTGTTTTCCTGCCTCCTTGCGAAATTAAAATGTTTTTAATTATATAATACTGCGCTGTGCGGCTATTGTAGTAATGGATCGAATTGATGCAACCAAGCGAAAGCCCAGACGCACTCAAGGCACACCATCGTATATCTACCGGAATCGCTTTGCCTACGCTCTGCTAGCAGCTGGAGCTGTCTGCTTCGGAATTTGGAGGTAAGTTTAACACGGAGTTGTTGTTTTATAAATCAGAAACTAATGCCGCTCTTCTACAGCTTAACACCCATGCAGCGCTTGTCCAACGAGAAGCTGTGTAAGACACTACTAACGCCCTCGGAGCAGGAGAAGGACAGAAAGGCATTGTTCGAGTTTGGTGCACCGCGTCCCGGCCAATTCATTAGAGACGCCATCGACGAGGCGGAGAACCTAAGAACAGAACGCTAAGAATGGATCGACAAACGCGAAGAGCGAATTTTAAGAACTTGCAGCAAGAAACCAAAAAGCTTCGGTAATTGTAATTTTAAACATGTTTTCGTAGCTTTTGCACAATAAAATGTAGTTATCTAACCAAAAGCATTGTTTTCTTTTCCCTTCCAAGCTCGACGCGCAGCAGCAAGGCAGCAGCAGCCTCCAACACATCCACACTATCCTCCTTCTTTGCTACACCACCCGAAAGAGTCGGAACAGAGGATGACACAGAAAATCGCTTTCGAGATGATCTACTGCCAAAAGCAGCCCCTTCTGAGGTGGCTACCTCGGAACCCAGAATCAGGCCAATACGCAATAGCAATGTCTTTGAACCACCTGGTCCTAAGCCCAAAAAGGCTCCCAAGCTCAAGGGCAGCGGCAGCAGCTCAAGTGCTTCACGCCGGGGACGTGGTCGCAGCAAGCAACAGCCGAGCATTAGCAATTTTCTGCGGAATGAGCAAATCTTTGCAGAGGTAACTGCACAGCATTGCATGGCGGATAACTTCAGTCCAGATGATATTGAAATGGCGCTGGCGCTATCCAAATCGGAGGCTGAGAAGCACGGTCGCCTGCGTTTGAATGACGATGACGATGCGCCTGTCGATGTGGTTATAGACTGCGCCGGAACAGCCACAGAGAATGTTCGACGTAGGCTACAGAAGTACGGCTTTCGCACAGCTGCCAAGGAAGGTAGGTCCTGTCCGAACAGTAGAAACATTCATTGTGTTAAACCCCAAACTCCTGTTCCCACAGACTACAACAGCTTGGCGGTCCTTCCCGGCGTGTCCGGCAGGGGCAGTCGTCGCTGCAAATGGGCCAACAAATTCACTCCCCTCACGCTGCGTAATCCCGAGCTGCAGCAAAAGAAGCTGGAGGGCAAGGTGTCTGCTATTTTGGCTCAACAAGTGCGAACGAAAGAGCTCAGTGAAAAGGAGCGGTTAATGCCGCCCTATAAGCTAATTAGTTCTGTACTCCGAGAACTGCAAGCCGACAGCAAGTCTGCCATTGTACATGAGCCCTGTGAAGGTCCTGTTGCGGATATCGGAATCTACTTTGTATCCAATTTGATTGAAGTAAGTCACACGCCTGCGCATCATTTGCTCAAGGATTGGGCTGCCATCCAGGGCCGTGACTTGTCCCCAGAGCGGATTAGTGTGAAAACCCGCCAGCAGATAAAGCAAATGGAAACTGCCTACAACGAGCTGGAAAAGCATTACGAAAATAAGCAACAAGTTGAAGAAGAACTCGATGAACTGGAGAAGCTGCTGGTGGAGAACCTGAGCGAAGAGGAAGAAGAGCCTAAGGTAGAGGTCTCCTCCACTGGCAGCAGTCCATTGAAGGAGCCACCAGATAAGCGTGCCAAAATGGTTGAAGATGTAACCACAGAAGACCTCAAGCCCAGCAGTATTCCCACTCACTCAACAGCGCGCTGTGTGTCACCCGATCTGTTTGCCGATTCTGACGAGGAGCCAGTGGAGGAACCAAAGGAAGTAGAGGAGTTTTCTTGGAAGGTTTATAAGAATATAACCACAAGTGAAAGTGCCAGTCCAGTGACAGAAGTGGAGAATACAATCAACAATGAACCAGCCGCTTGCTCAGAAGTTTATTCCATATCTAGCGATGAAGGTAAAGCTTTAGGCATAAACGAGTAACTTTTAATTAATATTTGTCTCATTTTAGTTAAGACTGTAAGAGACGCTACACCTGAGCAGTTGGATACTAAAGGTAAGGGATTGAAATAAATAATAAATCACGTATACCATTAATAAATATTTTTTTTCAGAGCTATCCAATGGCTGCTTTATTGATTTGACACAAGAACAATCCACTCCAGAATTTGATGAGCCAAAGGCAGATCTTAGCGCGGATATCATGAGCATAAGTCAAGCATTTGAATCGGGTAATCTCAACTGTAGTCTGGCTATGGATTCAAGTTGCCAAAAGTATAAACTTGCACTGAGTGGCACATCGTTCACAACTCCAAATGACACGAATCCAAGTTGTAGCTTTAGTGATTTGAACTTTTCGCGAAGCTCTTTTAGAAGAAGCGTCAGCCTGTCCACGGATAACAGCTTCAAGAGTCCCTTAAACTGGAAATTGAACTCATTCTCCGAGAAGCCTGCACTGTCTGCCGCTTCACCCTTCAGCATGAAGTCTGATGCAAGCATCGATCTAACCCAAAATGATGAAAGCGACGAAGACAATGACTTGATTATGCTATCCGATGAGGAAATCAATTACTCAATCTGGAAGGCCAACAAAACGGGAAAGCTGAAAGACTGGGATAATCAGAGCTCACACAGTAGCCCTGGCTCCTCGCCTGTAGCCAAAAAGCGAGCTGTGCCCTACTTTAAGACTGAAGAGGACTTGGATGCCTTCTTGCTGGCTTCTCCCACAATCTCGAATAAGTCGCAAAATTCACGCTCGCCCAATAAGAGCGCTCTCAGCAGGGAACGCGCCGAGTTTGGGATACTTGATGCAGCACACTCTGAGCCCTTTACACTCTCGCAAATAATGAGCCCTGCCAAAGAGGAGCCACCAGAATCGCACAGCGATATTAACTGGTTAGATGCATCCTTCCTCGATGCTCCCATTAAGCCTTTATCGCGCAAGCGTAGCCATAAATTTAATGATTTGCTTGTCACGCAGCCCGACGATTTGTTTGCTGATGAATTTGATGATTTTGATCAGTTGGTTTTTCCAAACTGCAAGCAATCAACCATTGAGACGAGCACAGATACGATGCCAAGCGGTCTGGATCGTCTGCTGACGGGTGAAATCAGAATGTCAACATTGCCGGAACTTGCAACGCCCAAAAAGGTAGCACCAGCCATGCCGGAGTGTCTCCTAATGGGTGAAAGCAGAGAGCCAACGCTGCCAGATATTACAACACCCAAGAAGGCATCATCTACGGAGCCTGAACAGTTGGAGGTCAATGGAAATGTGTACACCGTTCGTGTTTGTAACACGCCCAAGCCCGATTTCACACTAATGCCGGAGTCAGAGATACTACAGCAGTTGTACAATTATGGAATCAAACCGCTGAAGCGAAAGCAGGCCGTGAAAATGCTTGAATTCATCTACAATCAAACACATCCCATTATGCAGCCCGTGGAAGCAAGGCTGTTAGCTCAGGACCCTATGCCACGTTCCAAATCCACTCCCGCGATGTCGGAGAAACCTCGCTCCCGACTGTTAGATTCAGCCAACGATGAAGCCTGTCTGACGCCCACTGAACCCATTTTGGATTTTAAATTCAACACCAATGCCTCTGGGCAGGATTTGCTCCGCTTCTCGCAGTCTGTGCCGCTCAGCTTAAGCGACAATTTTGAGTTTTATGTGCTGCAGACGAATGTGACAAAGAAGACAGCACAGCCGCTGTTGCCGCTGCACATAGCCTGGCACAATCTTCTGTGTGCCAATCCCAAGCTTCATGAGAGTGTGTTGATGTACGAGCCCATTGATCTGCAGGAAGTTTACTTGCACCTGAAGCAAATGGGTCATCGGTATGAGCCCAAGGACTTGAAGTGTTTCTTCGATCGTCGCTGCATTATATTTCGATATGAGCTTGCGGGACCCGCCAAGCAAGCGGAGCGACATGTGAGAAAGAAACCAATAAAGGCAACCACCAAAAGGTCATAGCTGCCAGCATTCCATTGTACTTATTCCTAGAAAAACATTTATAATTAATTATTAAATGACACTTTGTTATTTGGCGCCCTTTGCCCGTTTAAATTATGCTCTCTAAAATTTATAAATTCCAAATAAATCTGTTATAATTATTAAAAATTCGAAATAATGATCGACATTTTACGGAAATGTATATTGGAGCTTTATTTGATTTGTTTACTGTACCATATTGGGGTTGGGTTTACAATATAAGAAATACAAAATACGAAATACGAAATACAAATGTATAGAGTTTGCTTTTGAATCGAGATAAAGGAAAAGAATTACAGGATTAAATGCAGACTCTGTAAACTTCCCAAAAAGTTGGGGTAAATACATTTAATTTTAAATACATATTGGAGGATCTTACAATACTAGAAGACACTTGGACGGCATAATTTACTCACGAGTCTCTACATTGAAGGCACATTTGTCTTGATATGATGGATAGAAAAGGGTTCTGCTTGGACCCTAAATGAAGCTATTTGTACTGCATGCAAAATAATTATTCTTGGGGTGCAAAAGTTAGTGGGTAGGCAACTTACCGTGACTAAGGTTAGTTTTGTGGGTTAAATATATAGATAGCAATATACATTGCCGGAATGTATAAATGTTAATTATAATTGAAGAAAGAGCGCGCATCGTATTAGGCATAGCTTATCTCATGCTCGTATGTCTTCTCCCTGAGATCGTGGTTGTCAGGGAGCGCATGATGACGCAGGCCACAGAGACGTGGCCCATAGCGCAGCATAATTATGATGACGCCGACGATGAACATGGCCAGGGCGGCCACAGCGGGGTACAGGAAATACAGGGCCATGGCTGATTGTTTGTTTCTTTACTTTACCTTAGATGTCACTCTCACGCTTTTGCAGCTCTACGTATTCCTCGCGCTGACGTTGGTGATGCAGAGTACGACCTTCTGGGCGTGGCGGACGCTGATGATGCGCTGAATGAATGGGCTCTAACTCGTCAACGCCAATAACCACTTCGTCGGGGAACACTTGCTGATGGGTCGTGGGCTTCATAGAGAAATTTTGTTAGTTGAGTTCTTTATTTTGTTGTCGCCCACCACTCACATGGAAACGCTGGAAATACGAGGCGTCTTTCAGTTCAGTAAAGTCCAATGGCGGCTGTTTGTGCGGTGTTGCAGACCAAATGGACACCAACCAGCGGTTGCCTGTGTGCCTGTCCTGCCAGTACTTGCGATACTTGGAGCAGCAGCCCAAGATAATATTCAATATGATTATTGAGCCAAGTACAACCGTGCAGATGCCAATAGTCACATAAAATGGCGAGAAATTGCCGTAGATGTGGCCGGTGAAGTAGGGATTCTTTTCGTATGCCTTACGTTCCTCTTCGATTGTGGACATAGTCCCACAGGAGCTCGGCTTGTTTGGGTTTTATTGGTATGGGTGTGGTTTGCGCCGCCGGATAAGAGCGGGTCAATGGCCTGCAGGATTAGCCACTAGACGTTCTTCTTCTTGCTCCCAACCAGCACAGCACTTAATTGTCTGAAACGAACAAGCAGACAATAAGAAATGATGACGAAGCACACACAACAACCAGCTCACACGCTGCATGCACCCCAAACATGAGCACACAGCACTTCTACTCTACCCTAGCCACTTCCCAATTGTTACATTGGGCGTGGCGTCAGCAGAACAAACATAGCGGAAGGCATCAGCTCGGAAGGTCTAGACTGTTTAAACCACCTGCCGGCACTTACCATCTGCGCACGATTTATTGCCACTGCGGTTCGATTCAGAGTTTAGCAAATGCACTCAAACGTTTTAGTTCATTTAACAAATTTAAGCGACAAACACGAAAAAAACAACGCCCAAAGCCTGGCTCAGATTGGTATCGAGTATCGATAACGCACAGTGGTGACACTAACAGCAACGCATGCAGGCTTGCATTTTACCTTATATAGCGATCGACAGGTTATATTTTTTAAATAAATATTATGTATATTAATAGAAAATAGCTTTAATTACACACAATAAACGCATAATCGAACTGGCTTAACAACTAAAACAGGTTCCGATGCACTCCTATATCAAACATACATAACTCCAGCTATTCAATAGCCCGGGCAATTTCCCCTTGCTCGCTACCTTCCTGATTGTCATCACTGGTCGTAGGTCAAAAAATTATCGGTTCTCGTAATATAACGCGCCAACGCCCGCCCATCGTCTGTTGGTGTGCTGAAAGCAATACGATCCATGGAGATTTTCTGTCCCAAGATGGTATGACTCTGTACAGTCCTTATCAACTGGCTGGCTATTCCTTGACGGCGATGCAGAGGAGACACCCAAATGCGAGACACGCCGCAGCTGCAAAAGGGCGAGATTTTCATTAATGGAATTAATGGGGAAAGGAGTATTATTCTTACCTGGCCTCGTATGTCTCCTCGCTAAAGTAGTCCGTTCCATCGACATGAATGAAGCGATGTGCCTGGGCAAGGGGCTGCACCAGGCAAAAGCCCACAATTTGCTGCTTCTGTATGGCGAAAAAGGCGTAAAATTCCTTTGGCACAATGTACGAGGAATATCCCAGCTCCTTATCCACCACACCAATTATGGCCTTCAACCTGTCCAGGCGCACTGCAGGAGCACGTTCATTAATGCGTATAATCCGTCCATCGTTGGACCACTCTGGACAGACGGCCACAATGTCCTCGTCGAGCCAGCCCTTAAAGCGTAAAATATGTATGGAACTGTGGTACTCGCGATGCAGTTTCTCCTCCTCTGGCTCGTGGACGGTGTAAACCAAACCGCACTGCTGACATTGCCTCGCTCCGAATGCCTTCTGTCCAGCGTCGATTTGATACTGATTGGACCCAGTGGCCGCCGACTGCAATCGCATCGAGGTGTCCGGCTTTCGTCTCGTGGTTTTCTGAGGAACAGGCTGGAGACGTTGTGTGAATATGGGAAAGAGTTTTGGCGCTGGCTCCTTCTCCATCTCCACTTCTGGCTCCTGCTCCATCACCGACTCTGGCACCTTTTGCATCTCCACTTCTGACTTCTCCTCCATCACTGCTTCTGCCTCGGATCGAATGGCAGCTTCTTGGGCCGACTGTTCAGCTTGGACCACCATATACAACTGATCGACAATCCGTGTGGCTTCCTCTTTGTGGCTATCGGGATCGCCAATAAAATACTCGAAATACTCGTCCGTGCAGATGTTATTGCTAATCAGGAACTCGAGCAGAATTTGCTGCTGTTCCATGATCTCTGGATCATCGGTGTTGTAAGGCAGTCGCTGCCGGAATTTATCAAAGGGATCGGGAACGGAGTCTTGATCGTGTACTTGAACACTTTCAGTTACTATTGACTCTTGCACAAGTTCGGGGGCCTCCTCCACCTCCATGGCAGCATCCTCAACATTCATGGCAGCATCCTGCACCTCAATGGGAGCAGCCGTCGGCTTGGGCTCTGGTTCACTCGATTCGATAATCTCGTCCACGACTGTGTCATTAAGATTCCTTAGAATTGCATCCACTGTGGCCTGTTCCGCTGAGAATAATGTGGCAGATTTGACGCGCACTCTTCGTGCCTTCTTCACGGGGGGCTGGATCAGAGTAATCCGCCCGTGACTCACACTGGCTTTGATGTTGTCAGTGATCCTGACCTCCATGCACGTGCTGCTCTTCCTGCCCGACTTGAAGAACTTGCGCTTGCTCAGGTCTGTCGGCTCGGGAGGGGAGACGGTGACCGCATCATGGCGTATCAGCGGTATAATGGGCTCAAGCTCCACAGCAGTATCGGACTGTTGTTCCTCGTCTTCACTCAGATCGGAGAAGTCAGAGGTCTGTTCCCACGTACCCTCGGTCATATTGTTGTTGGCATCATCGGCAGCTATCACACTCAACGGTTTGGCCATCTTAATTGGATCGCGAGCACTGTGCAGGATTTGATGCACTTGCTCCACCTGGGCGCGCTCCTCCCGCTTTTTCGTGATCAGATTTTTGAGCTTCTCATTGCGCAGCGAGCCCAGAAGTAGATCAATATCGGTGGGAGGCAAGTGATGGTGCGGCACGAGGCGATTTGGTTTCCGTATTTTGTGGCTCACTCCCTTATTGATGCCCAACCGTGGCCGAAATGTTGGTGAGGTTTTCGCCTTGCCACTGCGCTCCTGCTGCTCTTTCTGTTGCCTCGACCTGCCCGATTTCGGTGTCCAGCTGGGTGTTGCACTGTGGGAATAGAATGCCATGGTTGGAATGCTCCCCTCCGGGTTGGTCCTCCTCTGCTTAGATCCCGGCGAACCCGTATCCGAATCGTGAGACGAAGCAGCCACTGCTGACGTATCCGTTGTGTGCACGCGCTTTATGGCCACTCGACGGATTGGATTGCCATTGCCTCCAGATTCATCATCTCCTCCATCGTCATCCGACTCAGAAATAATCACATGATTTTTCTTCACTCTGGGAGTGCGTGGACTGCTGCTGATGCTGCTGCTATTGCTATTGCTATTGATGCACATTGTTTTGTTAAACAAAAGCGGCAGCTGTTCGGTGGCCGCCACGACAACTCCTCCGCCTCCACGTATATTTTTGTTCTCCTTGTTGGTCTCCGGCGAACTGCTCGTGCTGCTGCCCTCAGGCTCCTGATCAAACTTGAGTTGGCTGGGCTTCTTGGAGCTGGCATGGGGCTTCAGTGGTGAAATTCCAAGGATTCGAACGTCCTCGTCGTCATCAAACTGATCCAGATTGGTGCTGCGGCTGCGAAACAATTGCCTCTTACGCTCAGACAATCGGGGGGTGGGCGTGCGCTCGGGGCGTGTGGAATATCCACTACCCTTTGGCGTCTCCATAATTTTGCACACAATTTAATTTGCATTAACTCCAAATTCAGAATCCCGCTTTTTTTGGCCGCCTAGTGCTGCGCAAAGCCAAACAATTAATGTTAGCCAACACTTCCAGAAACACAACCCTGTGTGGAAAAGCGAGATTTTTGTGCGGGTCGATAGTTTGACAAAAGAGTAAGTATATTTCGGTATATTTCGGTATATTTCCGAGGGTCTGTCGGTATATTTGATCGATAATTCCGCGGTCACACTTGGGACAAAGGAAAAGATTCCGAAAATTTCAACGTGAAATAAATAATTTTTTACAAATTTGTGGGGCATTGAAAGCTAAATTTGCATCATATACAGGTAAGTCGTGTTCAGAGCATTAAGTCAGTTTGTTGAAGCGGCAGCCCCGGCGAACCACTGCAACCGTGAAAAAATGAAACTGTGAGCCTGTCGCCGCCATCTTTTTTTGTGTATGTACTTGTGCCGACGCCAAATAATGCCAGACATTGTGCATGACGTGCCCGCTTTGCCTCGCCTCCTCAAGAAAGTATTGTATACAACAGTGGTAGTATATAGAATCCATGCCAGACGTTCGCGGCACATGCCATACGCGCTCCTGTTGTTTAATGACTTTTAGCACATTGGTTCGAACAAGATGAAAATTGCATTGTTTTCTTCTTTCACTTTGAGGTCGCGGTTATCTCCTCGTACCTGCCGTCGCTGTCGTCGCAATCGCGATAAAGAAACCGCCGCCCCGCCAACAAACGCCGCCGCGTACGTACGGATTTTCCCCCAATTTCAAGAAACGCAAGAACCGTGGACGACAACGCAGCGGAACCCGTTGCCGCCATGCCCGGAGCCGGCACGTTCAAGTTATTCATCGGTAATCTCGATGAAAAAACTCAGGCTACCGAGCTGCGTGCGCTCTTCGAGAAATACGGTACAGTCGTCGAGTGCGATGTGGTCAAGAACTATGGCTTTGTGCACATGGAAACCGAACAGCAGGGTCGCGATGCCATACAGAACTTGAACGGTTACGTTTTGAACGATAATGCCATCAAAGTGGAGGCGGCCAAAAGTCGTCGCGCCCCCAACACGCCCACTACGAAAATCTTCGTTGGAAATCTAACCGATAAAACGCGGGCGCCGGAGGTGCGTGAGCTGTTTCAGAAATACGGCACCGTCGTCGAGTGCGACATTGTGCGCAACTATGGGTTCGTGCATCTGGACTGTGTGGGTGATGTGCAGGATGCCATCAAGGAGTTGAACGGTCGCGTGGTCGATGGCCAACCGCTCAAGGTTCAAGTATCGACTAGTCGTGTGCGCCCCAAGCCGGGCATGGGCGATCCGGAGCAGTGTTATCGTTGCGGCCGTTCCGGTCATTGGTCGAAAGAGTGTCCGCGCCTCTATGGCAGCACCGGAGGTGGACGCGAACCGCCATCGCCGCTCAGTGCCGGCGGCTACAGAGATCGTATGTACGGTCGTGATCCCTATCCGCCACCACCACCTCCGCCGCCATTCCTGCGTGATCGCATTATGGACGGCTTTAGGGTAAATGCAGCATACATTTCAAAACATCATCCAAAGCTCACCCTCCCCCACGCCTCACAGCCACTAATTGATTCTCTTCGCCTCCACAGGATTATGATTACTATGACCGTCGCTTCGAGGATTCACGCGACTTGTACGAGCGTCGCTATCAGTCATCGCGTATGCGTGACTTCCCACCGCCACCGATTTCACGTCGCGAGCCCATGCCATTGCCGCCTCCGTTGAGCGGCAGCCTGCGCTCTTGCAGCGTCACACGTGGATATGACACCATGTTCAGTCGTCGCTCGCCACCGCCGCCACGCAGCAGCAATGGAATCAGTCGATATGGGTATGTGGAAGACAGTTAAAACCTCTTTAAATGTCTATTCTAATGTATGCCATTTCCTCTTCCCTTAGCTCGCCCACACCACATGGCTATGAGGACTTTAGTCGCGATTCCTTTGACGATCGCATGATATCGTCACGCGGCATGCGCGGTCCCTCTCCACCGGGTCGCCGCTATGCGCCCTACTGAGATGAGTTTTACTATCACGGCAGCAGCTGAGTGGCAGTCGCCTTCGATCCCATACCCAAACATTTTGTGAACATAAACAGACTTGTGGCTGCTCAGCTGGTTTGGTCGCCAGCAGCAACAGAATGTGTTGTGTGGCTGCTGTTGACCTCATTTTCACACTTGTGGCTGCCGCGTATTCGTATTTTACTACACTAACACTAATCGTAAACTTAAACAGGAGAATACCCTATATTTGTCCCAGCATTTCCCCCCATTATGCTTGGCCAAAACCCCTGCCCCACACACACCAACTAGACAACGACTGCTCATGCTCTGTCCAGCAATTAAACGATCAAAACGTTATTGAATATTGTGAAGTTTTGTGTGTAACAATAAAGAATCTATAGCAGTCGAAAATATGCAAAAATATACGAATATATTGGTTTTTACCTCTGATTTGTGGGGGGAAGGAAGGATTTGTAAATCTAGGATCCTCAAGGACTACATTCTAAAGACAGTATTGCAACGTTAAACTACAGCTAAGACAGGCAGCTGGAACAGCGATTAGGTGGGATCAGTGAGCTTATCGGTAAGGAGCGATTCATCCGGTGAGTTGTCTTCTATTTGTGCGCCATTCAGTTTATTCAGTTCTTGCAGCTCCACAGGCGCTGGCTTGTCAAACGTAGGCGGGATGAGCAATCGACTGAAAGGAAAGGAAAATTAATTGAAGAAAATACGAAATCTTGGAGATTAAAACTCACTTGCCGAACTGCAGCGCAATCATTGCGACGAGCATCATAAACGATGTAACCCCAAAGGTCCAGTAGGTGCCCAACCTCGTGTAAATGGAGCCAACAAAGACGGGACCCAAGACACGCGACAGACAGCCCGAGCCCGTCATCCAGCCCATCCAGACGCCCTGCGGTCGGGGCCCCAGCACTTTGGAGAAGATCGTCTGAATGAGTGTCACGCCAATTGGATAGCCCACGGAGGTGAGGGCAAAGCCAATTATGAACTGTGTCAGGGAGACGGCTGGGATGTCACCGCACCACTCCTGCGTGTGTGGGCAGCCCAGATAGGCGGGATCGTCCAAGCTTAAATTGAGGCTAGCATTGTAGGTCAAGGCCAATTTGGGCGGATCGGGTCCCCACGGCAGGAAGAGCACACGACCCAGTACCATCAGCGAGAACCCGCCCCAGATGAGCACGTAACGTTCGGCAACCAGCTTGCACAGCGGCTCGATCATCACGAATGTCACCAGCGAAACTATGGCCGCAGTTGTCATCATGATGCCCATGTTCCAGAGCGCCTGCTCGTGCGTCCAGGCCCACATATCCATTGTCAACGATGTGCCCAAGCTGGAAAAAGATTAAACATGAAACCTTCAAGCTCTCAGCGTTTGGTAGAACTTACGTTTCGAGGAGCACAAAGTTGAAGACGAGCACAAAAAAGGCCACAATCAGGGTCCAGGCGGAGAGGTAGCTCGGCTTGATGCCCTTCCACGTATCGCGCTCTGAGGTGCCACCCTGCATGACCATAACCTCTCGAGCGGCAATTTTGTGTTCCTAAAAGCAGAGCAGACAAATATTTAGGTAAGAGACAAAGCTAACTTCACTCATTTGTGATTTACCTCGAATACGCCGGGCAGGAACATCATGAAGTTGCACATACTCATGATCACGTTGATCCAGCCGGAGCCCGTGAACATGTTAACGTGCATCTTGCCCCACAGCCAGACATGACCTATGGGGCCGAGCGGTGTGACAGCCGCTTGGAGGGTCGGGCCGATGATGAACCCCAAGACCTGGGCCAAGGACACCATGGAGACGGCATGGGTGCGTTCGCTGATACGCGTGGCTGCGGATAGATAGGATCTGCACAGGGCAATGTTCGCTGAACTGACGCCAATCAGAAATCTAGACGCCAGCATCCAGTACTTGACATTGGGCGGACCCAGCTCCAAGGAGGAGTACATGCCGCTGGCTACGGTGAACAGGGCCAGCGAGATGAGCAGCGGGAGACGAATGGTGCCCAGCTTGTTGCCCCACCATCCGAATATGGGACTGAAGATCATCTGGCCCAACGGATTGGCTGCGACTATCAGACCCATGAACTCCTTACCGGCATTGGGATCTAGCTGGAGTGAGAATTGCATAAGATTTCGCAGGTCACGCGGAGCTGTACCAAAGAGACACTCACCTTGACGAGGTAGGGCCATATGCCCGTGATTATGATGCTAAAGCCCAGCGCCATCAAAAACATTGTAAAGTAAATGATGCGCACGGAGCGCCAGCGCTGCTTGTACTCCTCGAGCGTCTCCAGTCCATCGTCGACATCCTCTGGCAGTCTTTTGGTTGCCATGCGTGTTCGCATTTTGCGCACCCACTCCATGCTGGTCCTTTTTTATATGTCTTTCAGTGGATTTATCAATGGCTCGCCTCCGGCTGTTTCATTCTGTAAGTGGGTCGGTTGATAGACTTTTGTTCTTTGTAAAATAAATCTTTTTTTAATGTAAACTAAAATGCCCTTTGATCGGTCGTGCTCGTACGAGTATTTTTAGCTGATAATATCGGCAGCTGAAGCAATAATCCCGCTATATAAAGACTTCAGAACATGCCACTTCAATGGATTATCCTCCCCATTGCCCAGAAACAGTTTGCTTTGACCAACTTATCTCAACAAATTATAAAAGATAAAGACAATCGCAGACTGATTCAGTGCAGCTGTTTTTCTCTCTCCCATTCCATTACGCGTGTGTGTTTGTGTTTTAGTTAACGGCACTATCGGTACGGCTATATCATGGCATAGATAACGGTAGAAGGGAACCCTGCAATTTTATTACATGATTTTATTTATCGAATTGCCCAATTCAGAATTTTGTATAAATTTCGCCTCATCACAAGAGGATCACACAAAGCAGATGGGGTTCGCTTGTCGCAGACTACATTCCCCATTCCATTTGCACTGATTTGTTCGGAATTCATTTCCAGACTTTGAGATTAGCTCTCCCATGGGGCTGAATGCGCCGAGCAGCGATGCAGCAGTCTGGCTAAAAATAGGCTCTCTCTCTTTCTCTCTCTCTGTTAAGTTTGGACTCCCTTGGTTCCAGTTAACGGCAGACAATCAGAGGGTTCCCTTGTTCTGGTTGGGAGGATCCTTTACACGCACACATACACGGGGAATAGCAGAAACAATTGTAGTGAAGCAACTAGTTGATCGACCATTGATCGGAGTCAATATTAATGGTCTTTGAAATCACCTTTTACATATTCGTTTTTGCTCACGCTCTCACTCTCTTTCACTTGGCTTGTGTATTTGATTTTGAATTGATTTCACATTCGAGAGCAATAAGTATTTGGCAAGGGCACATTTACATATTTACTTCTTTGTTGTTATGTATATTATTTCCTTATATACAAGCGACACAAATTAACATGCACATATTCGTTTATCGTTTATAAATGAATTGTTTTCATTTTCTCTTTTTGGTCTGCACTCTCTTTAACGTTAAAACACTCGTCTCGTACACATTAACGCTCTCTCAGCTGAAGCCACATATATCTCGCAGTAAATGACATGAATAGCAGCCCCCCTTTGTTCATGCACTCTTTGTGGGGATGGGGGAAAGGGTTCGCGTCAGTTCGTTCACTCGCATGCACCTTTTTTTTTACCAATTTTGTTAGCTACCTGTTGCAGCGATGGAGCGTAGCTGCGGAAACGCAACCGCAAGAGGGCGCGTTCAAAGGAGGAACGTTAACTATAACTATAACGAATATATTGATGTAGGCACTTTTGATAATATAAATGTTGGTGAAATTAACGTCTTTATGTTTTTGCTGAAATATTCAAATAAATACGCCCGTTTTAAGTGGTGCCACAGAACTGTTGCTTATTCCGCCCGCATGGTGTGGTAGCACAACAAGGTTGCTTCGATAAGAAATCGATTTTAAGCAGCACATATCTATTTACCGCCTGAAAATTTATTGATCGAAGAATACTTAAAAATATACAACAATGAAAATAAAAAACGCGCTGTGTATGGGTTTTACTGATTTCCACGAGCTTGCTGAAGACGCCTCAAACGTTGCTGCCGCAGCCAAGGAAAGAGGAGGCCGCCACGCTGTGGCAAAAGCGGGGCGAGCGTTGGGAGACCTACAGCAGGAGCTAGGGTCACAGCTTCTGGGCTAATATCGTTGCGGAATCGGCTCATGGAGCGGCCACTGGGACGACGATAAACGGGTGCCCGCTCCTTAGGCTCAACGTCATCGTTCATGATGTTCAGGCTGAAGACATCTTCCCTGTTTTTGTTGTCGGACGATAAATGGCTCACAGTGTCCTGGAGAACGCGAGGAATACGCTCCACCACTTGCATTGCATCTCGCAGCGGTCTGATGTCACGTTCAGATTCTCTCTGCGACTCTTCAGAGGAAGCGGCCTTGCTGGACGCAGTCTTCCTGCTTTTCCAAGCCCTTTTGCTGTCACGATTTGCCTGCTGTCGCTTCTTCAGGGGCGCAGGACGTATTAAGGGCGTGCCACTCTGCTCAAAGAACCAAGGTTCGCGACGTGTAACTGCAGCAGGCTCCACCGGAGCGGCTTGGCGTTTGAATGCCGCAGGCTTTGACACCCGCGGCTTCTGGCCACGTGTGCCCAAGGGAGAAGGGCGCACCAGTGAACCAGCGAAATCGTTGAACCACTCCAGGTTATCTACTGATCGCTTATGCCTTACCAGCTCCGATTCCTTGGCCCCCTTCGTAGCTGCTTCCAGGGCATTGGCCGTCAGCTGGCTGGCTGCATGCTTACCCGCCGACTTAGACGGCTTATAGATGGTGATGGTGTTTCGGCGATTGCGAGCGGTCTTCGGGCCAGTGCCACTCCTGACCACCAGATCGCGACGCTGCTCAAACTGCTGCGCATTGCGGACGAAGCGGTTGCTGCTCGGGCCCTGGATGAGAATCTGGAAGGGAGTGTTCAGGGTTTTCGCGTTCTCCTGCATGGTGCGAATGCACTCCGTGTCCGAGTTCTCGTCGTTGCACTCACAGAGGCACTCTTCGCCACAGTAGAAGCCCAAGCAGCCGCAGTGCTCGCAGAGAGCTTTGCAGTTCAGCTCGTGCTTGGCCTCCGTCAGCGGATTGGCATTAGGAGAGGACGTCGCTGGTGCCGATGAAGTGGAGAGTGCAGATGGGGACTCGGTGGTTGCAGTCTCGGCAGCAGCGAGATGTAGTTGGAGGACTACCAGCCAAACCAAGATTAGGGCTATGGTGTAGGCGTAGAGGCTGCGAGGTTTCATCATTTCCGGTGTCATGGTCGGTGCGGCTCTGTCTTGGCCCCACTCGAATTGGGTTGTGGCTGTACGATTGCGACGCGCGACGCTTTTTATACGCTGACCAGGTGAAATTGTAGATGTTTCTCCACTTCGTGACAGTCGCTCGATTTTCGATTTGGTTTTTTATTATTCATTTTGACGGAATTTTCGCTGACATCGTGTGATCTTGAAACATTTCCAAAATGGGGTGCTGTTCTATGCTTGATTCGTATGTTCTATGTGCTGATTTCTCTTTTTGATACGCTACGGTATGAAGATCTCATGCCAAGGCCGAATTCCTGCACTTGAACTTGACACAACATACGGGAGGGGTAGAACATTTATGTTTACAGAATTTATTACAAAAGAAACCCAACTGAACAAATGCCATTAAAAACATGATGCAAATCATCAACGACGCTTGCCTTTGCCCTTCTTGCCACCGCCACCGCCACCACCACCTCCGCCGCCGCCAGCAGCTCCAGAGCCACTTGACTGCGGCTGGGGCTGATGGAATGATTCCCCACCCGGTTTGTTCTGGCGCGTCTTCAGCTGAGGTATTTTACCGGCAATGTACTGCATGATCGATTCGCGAGAGGGAAAGTCTTTGCTGCACAACGTGCCATCGGCATTGCGGAGCTGGACGCGAATGCGGCCGCGGAATTGCATCTCCCTGCTGATTTCGCGCGGATATTTCAGTGTCTCAACCAGAAAGTGCATGTTGGTCACAGACAGCACATCGCGCATCTCGTGGTAGTGTGGATTCTCGACGCAGTTCTCCTTGGGCAGGCGGCGACCCTCCTGGCGAGTCTTCTTGCTATTGATATAGGCGGGGTAGATGCATATCCAGCTGGGGAAACAATAACAAAGACAGCATGTGAAAGGGATTGTGCTTTGTTTTGGTGTTCCCGCACACTTACCGCTCCATTTGGTTGTGTTTTATATCGGGATTCCAATTAATGCGCATAGGAAGTGGTTCCGCCATTGTAGCGTTGTTTATTTTGTTAATATCAGTGGGTTTAATAAAAAAATCAGAAAGTTTTTTCCACGCAGGCACCTTGCATGAAATAGGGATGGGTCAAAGTGAGACGATACCATTGATATCGTGGCCCAGCAGTAGCCGATGAATCGATAGGCCCATCGACTACTTTCTGGCTCTACTGGTCGTCGCCGTTTCACAACAATATACAAATGGCTGGTCGCAGAATAATTTCAATAACAGTCTTTTTCTGGTCTTAAAGCAGTGCGCGGCGTTGCTCTTGTTGTGTCTTCGAACCGTTTTCCACGCGCAAGTAAACGTGCGGCATACGAAGCAATTCTAGTCACGCGTATCGCGGCGCTTCGTTGTAAACATCGCCACCTCCCCCTTGACACGCCACACACAGGAACCGAACACAACACAACACAAAGCAAAGGCAAGACTCGCGGCCCAACAATGGAAGAACTGAACAGCATACTGCAGAAAACCAAAGATAAATCAACGCAGAAAGAGCAGGATGAGGTACTTATCCCTTCCGTTTAATCATTCAAGAGCCTGAACTTTGCCATTCTAAAGTTTGACGCCATAGCCTGGGCCTGTGCGTGGGTCTGGGCCCTGGGCCTGCGCCCAGACACCCCCCAAACAAAAAACCCCAAACTTATCTACTTCACGGCTCGCTTCTTTTCTTCCCACTGCTTTACGGTTTATTTACATGTCGCCCACGCACCCACGTGCCTCATCGCTTATATCCAGATTCTGCTGCAGCCCTTCACATACATACAACAGATTCCTGGCAAACAATTTCGCTCGGAGCTGGCCTTGGCCTTCAATCACTGGTTGCTCATACCGGCCGAAAAACTGGCGCAGATTGGCGACATTGTACAAATGCTACATAATTCCAGTTTGCTGTAAGTATATACAAATATTTCATGCATTTTTTGAACGTGCCTGTATGGGTAAACCTGTCGATATTGCATTCAAAACTAATCATGTGTGTAGCACGATTTAATTTTAAATTTGACCTTTGCTTTTAGTTTTGCATTTGTTGCCCCTCTCTCCCTCTCAGCCCGTAGCTTTTGTTTACCTGCCCCCATGCCACACGTTTGGCCCCAACCCCAACCCCATCCCTAAACCAATAGCCATATTATAGCCATACCCATGGTATCTCTGTTTAATCTCATTTCACACTTGCACAGCCTTTTGTATCGACTCTTTTTTGTTTGTTTATTTGCTTTCGTTTATATAGATTTCAGCTGAATGCCCATTTGGGGTGTGAAGTTTTTTTATATTTTTGGTTGGAAAATTGTAAAAGTGCTGCACTGCCCATAAACTTATCTCCCATATGGAGCTCGTTCGGAGTATTCTTATCACCGTCCGTCAGCAGAGTAGTCTTTATCCATTTAGCATATCACCGTTGGGTGGGCAGCTTTGGTTCTATTTGCCGGATGACTCACACCCTTTTTGGACGGAGCCAATTGGCGGCCTTGTTTGGCTACTACATATATTGGATAATGTTCTGTTGTGTTTGTGTGTGTGCACATACATGTTTGCCTCAAATCAATTCCAAAATTGCATCATGAGCCCGCAGAATCGGCTGTTTACAATACTTTTTCAATTGAATTTCTTGGCATTTTATTGCCCGAATTGGAATTGCATAAATTATTTAGATTTTTTTCCATTCCTATTCCCATCCCGAGTGGGTGGAATCGGGGAGGAGACGCTGACTGACTGACTTGCTGCTGCCTTGCAGCTCCGGGCAACAATTAAACTCTGAACTGTCCCAATTGAAGTGTGTCTGCAGCTTTTCAATTACGGGCCTTTGTCTGTAAGATAGCAACAGCAGTGGAGAGGAGCTTAGTGCTGATTCCCTTCCCTTGCGAATTGTCACTATCATCAAGCAGCAGCTAATCAGTTACTCTCTCTTTCTCTCTCTCTCTGTCTATTCAATCAGGCAAACTAATACTCGCCTCCTTGGCCACCTGTCGCCCCTTGTATTCAAATGCAAATGCTTTGAAATGGCCTTAATTCTGCTTAAAATCTTCTCATTGTTTCCCTTGACATCATTCTCATTCCAATTCCCTGTTTTATCTCCTCTCGTGTCCTGTTCTGTTCTGTTCTCCCAAGTGCCTTGTCTTCTGTTCCTAATGCATTTTCATATCGGCAAAAACTTAGTTTTGCAACTATGCCAGTTGCAAGTAAGAGCCACGAGGCAGGCCAGCTACTTTCCCGCCTCCTGCCATGGCAACATAGCCCATCCCATGCCCGTCTTGTCCGTCAGTCAGGCGCCTCATTCATGCACTTATGCCCATTGTCATTTAGTCAGCCAGCCGACAGTCGACAGGCATTGTGACAACTCTTGCAACGCAGCACGCCCACCATTCACCATTCGCCATCATTTTTCTCATCACTATCCAGAGGCTCCTTCACACCAAGCTCCTCCTCCACTCTCGACGCCTCCTGTGCTACCGCCCTTTGTGCGTTGTCGCTCCAACGCCCACGCCTCCATGCCATCCAATTCCCTTTCAATGCTTCTGCCAGCTTTGGCGGAGCGCAAACATTTTTTAATTACGCAAATGTTGGGCTGCCCAGTTTGCCTTTCCCTTTGCCCTTGCCTTCTGCCTGTGTGTGCCTGGCGGGCAACGTAGTTATTGAAGCGATGTTGGCCTTAAAGCGGGGCTTAAATTTACACATCTATTATTATGAGAGGCATATACAACCCAACAAACACGTACTTACACGTGTGCATAAAAATATGTTGTGGATACCTGGGGATGGAAGCGTGACGTGACTCACGCTTTAAGATCTCACTTAGATTTGTATTGTACTACCATAGAAGATCGATTTATTGATTCACCGACCTGCTTTTCAATGCGTGTTCTTGCTACTAACTTACAGCATTGATGATATTGAAGACAATTCGATACTTCGCAGAGGTGTGCCGGTGGCCCATTCAATCTATGGCGTGGCCAGCACCATAAATGCTGCCAACTATGCTCTGTTTCTGGCCCTGGAGAAGGTGCAGCTGCTGGGACATCCAGAGGTATGTCATCTGATATTCAAGATTCAACACAGAAATAAATTAATCAATTATGGATTCTGTTGGAAAGGCAACCAAAGTTTATACGGAACAACTGTTGGAGCTGCATCGAGGCCAGGGCATGGAGATATACTGGCGTGATAGTTTCACATGTCCCTCCGAATCGGATTACAAACTGATGACTGTGCGCAAGACTGGCGGCCTGTTCATGCTGGCCATTCGCCTCATGCAGCTGTTCAGTGCCAACAAGGAGGATTACTCCAAGCTGACAGCTATTTTGGGACTTTACTTTCAAATACGCGATGATTACTGCAACTTGAGTTTGAAAGAGGTGAGTTCTAGTCCACTGAGCATTGGCACTCAAGCTTATTATTCTCTGTCCCACAGTACACGGAGAACAAGAGCTTTGCCGAGGATTTGACGGAGGGCAAGTTTGGTTTTCCAGTGATCCATGCGGTGCGTTCGCAAAAGCAGGACAAACAGGTTCTACGTAAGTGCCACCAGACTTGACCCTAAGGCTCGCCACTAAGCAAGTTACGTTTTGTATTTGCAGACATATTGCGCCAGCGCACGCACGACATTGAGGTCAAGAAGTACTGCATCAGTTTGCTGGAAAAACTGGGCAGTTTTCAGTACACACGCAAGGTTCTCGAGACGCTGGATGCGGAGGCGCGAGCAGAGGTTGTTTGTCCTTGAACTAAATTGATTTGTTTTTTAATTGCTAATGGATCTCTCTCCTCTTTCAGGTGATGCGTTTGGGCAGCAATCCCTACATGGACCGGCTGCTCAATAAGCTGCTCTCGTGGAAGGCCAGCGACAGTGCCAGCATCACGCAGTCGAATCAGATCAATCACAACAACGTGACCGCCCGCAACAGCCCCAACCAAAACACACTGAACTGCAATTAACAGCCAAAGAGGCAAAAGAGGGAGCAATTGTGAATTGCGAATGGCGAAGCCTCTTTTGCTGCTAACCCAAGAACCGAGACGAGGGCCAGGGCGAGAGCCAGCGCCTGCCTGAGTGCGCCCCTAATGCGTTTTCTGCAAAAACTGAAAATATTCTGAGATTTATGTTCCACTTTTGCCTCCCCGAAAGCTCACAAGTAGCCAAACTCTAACTAAAACTAAAAGAAAGAATGAAAGTGAAAGGGAAGGGAAAAGGAAAACCAAGAGCAGCCTTACAAAAAAAGTAAAAATTGTTAAGCCAAAAGTTAAATGATATAAGCCAAGCTTATGAATGAGCCAGCAAATGAGCCATAGAACAGCTTTCCATGAATTTGTTTATGTTTACGTTTACGTATAATTTAGTTCCTTTTTTTTTTGATACGCTTATGTTCTCAATTTAAATATTAGTTATTCGGGCACTGACTAGGGCCTTGATTAGTTTCCTTTCTTTTTGGCAGGGCAAATCTCAAAAAGCATTACTTAATTATAGGATATGCAATATTTAAGCTGTTGTATTTCTAAGTGTACTCTTTTGTATTCGTGTTTCCGAAACGGAGAGCACTTTTTTCGATTTCTAAATGTAATTTTTCGTATCTACTCACTCGGATAACTCCTCAATGTGCACGCACTTCCTTTATCGACGTTGTTCCATTTTAATTGTTATACAATCGTATACACATATGTATGTCTTATTAACAAACAAACAAATTGTTAACGTTTTATGCAAAACAAACAGCAACAAAGAAACCTAAAAACAAAAAAAACAAACACTACTAAATCTTATATTGAAATAATGATAAATGATAATGATGCACTGCACAGCAGATTTTTGCACATTGCACCACCTAAAGTATATACATATGTACACAATATATTATATACTAAATATATATACTATATATATTTTTATTGTAGTTATACACTTGAAGCGGCAAGAGAAACAAAGAAAAGCCAGTGAAGAAACCGAATTGCTGAAGAGACAGAGAGAAACGAGAGAAGAGGAAAGAAATACAAATAGGAAATGCAAACATTTTATGGTAGGAAACGATAATTAAATAGCCGAGACTTTACAGCGTTACACAGTGCACGCCCAGAGATGCTGCAGCACGATGAAGTGCCAGCGCACCTAACATTTTGCCCATTTATGTATGTACCACTATTGAGAAACATTGAAATATATATTATATGTACGTATTTAAATAAATATTTATGCCAAGTTGTCATCTAAAAATATGTATTTTCCATCTATGGCTAGTTTTTTACCATTCCATTTAAGGATTCGATATGTTGAAGACATGGGGGCCAGATTATTTCTTCGCCACTGGCCATGAGTTATAGAATTACTTGCCATACAAAAACCTTTGGGGTAAAAATAGATTCACTTCATATATCTGCATACTTTTAAAGAAAACAAATCATTTATTCTATAATTATTCAAATTACAGTACGTATTTCGGTACTGTTCTTATTATGCAATGCAATTCAAAATCCATATTAATGTACTTTCAAGATATCTGTCTAAGTATCTTGCTCAATCATGTCCATTAGCTGTAAAAACTCCTGTGAAGTTCCGTCCATTTCGGTATCTTGTTCCCCATAATTCACATATTCGGCATCATCCTCCTTAAATGAAACAAATATTTGGTACATGACTTTGGATTGCATTTCGACATTTAAACTAACTCACCTCAAAGCCAAAGCAATTGGCCGCATTGATCTTGGAGGCTTTGGGCTCGCGTTTGACCACCACCTCCTCTTCACCATTAACCAGTTCGACGACCATGACCTGACCCTCATCGCCATCCAGCTCAACCGTAAACTCTGAGGTGTTTGGCTCTTCCTTAATGTGGAATGTCTTGGTGCCGCCTTGGCTTCTGAGGCGGCGGTTAATAATGACGGGCTGATTGATGGAGCTCTTTCTGGGTTGTGTGTTAATGATGACCGGACTCTTCTTAGATTTCCCGACAGGGTTGCTCTCCATGGCATCTAATATTTCATCCTCATAGTTGTACGGCTCGACGTCGGCCAGTTCAAAGTTCTCTTCGTCTTCTTCATCCATGTCAATAAGACCTCTGTCAAAGTCACGTTCGTTGACCAAAGTCACGATACTGCCATCGGGCTGCAGGCGAACATTGCGACCCATTTTCAATTTCAGCCGCTCCTCTCGAGTATTCTTTGAGTCGTCATGACTCTCCATGTGCCGCATGAGATTACCCTTGTGGGTAAACGTGCGCGGACAATTCGGGCAGCTGTGCACCTTCTCGCGCGGCTCGGGCCGCTGGTATTGCTCGTTGTGCACAAGATTCATGTGGCGACGCAGCAGCTGGCGCTGACGGAACGTCTGCGGGCACATCTCACAAGCGAAGGGCTTCTCATCCAAGTGGATGAGCATGTGCGAGTCCAAATGGCGCTTGGAAACAGAGGCGTACTCGCACAGATTGCAACGATAGCATCTCTCGCCCTCGTGGGTCTTTATGTGCAGCTTATACTGGTAGCGATCGGGCAGATTCTGCCCACAGCGTTTGCAGGGTATCGGTTTGTCTGCCTTATGCATATGCATGACATGAAGGCGCAGATCCGCCTTACGGCCACAGGTGGTGGGGCACTGACTGCACTGGAACACGGGCTTGTCCACAACGCTGTGAATCAGTTTGTGCGCCTTCAGGGAGTTGGACTGCGTGAACCGCGACTTGCAAATATCGCACTGATACTTCTTCTCGCCCGTGTGGACAACCAGATGACGCTTCAGCTTGAACATATCCTGCGAGGCATAAGTACAGTGGGGACACTGGTATGGTCGCTCTCCTGTGTGACATGTCATGTGGCGTCTCAGCTTGGTCAGCTCCACCGAAGCGTAGCTGCACTCTGTGCACTTGTGGGGCTTCTCCTTGGTGTGCTTGTATCGGGTGTGTCTTATCAGCTCGCCACTGGTGACAAAGGCGCTCTCGCAGTGCTTGCACTTGTGCGGCTTATTCCCCAAATGGGTGTTCACATGGTTAACCAATCCCACATTGGTCTTGAATCCACGATCGCATATCGAGCATATGTACGAAAACTCAGTCTCGTGTGTTTTGTTGTGACGCGAAATGAGAAACTTTTTGTTGGTCGTGTAGGAGCAATGAGAGCAGCTGAAGTGATGCGTCTTGGACGTTTTCTTCTCCACAGTTGGCACTGGTTTTAGCAAGAACTGCCTGTTGGTGATCTTCAGCTCCGGCTTGGTGTCCTCCGGTGGGTTGTCATCGAACTCATAGACCTCACCGTCAGCCACATTGTCCAGGGCTTCTACGGCATCATTGTCAATAATGTATTCCGAATTATCAGCGATATCTGCCACGGCAGCTGCCACATCAGTGTCAGCCACCAGTTCCTCCATCTCGCGCTCTATGTCAAGAGCTTCGGACTTCGGCTCGAGCTTCGGAGAGGGTAGCTTTATTGCCTTTTTGGGCCTGCCTCTGGGACTCTTAGCAAAGGTCTTTTCGGGCAGCTTGGGACTGGTACTAGCAGCAGTTACGACTGCTGCTGCACTCGCTGCTCGTGCACTGATTGGCTTTGGCTCAGCTGCGGATCTTGTGACCCTTTTCGTGAGAGACTGGGCAGGCCGTAAATTGATGACTGGCGGGAGAATCTCGTTAGCTTTGATTGTGTGAATTGTGACTGGCTGGTACTCACCTTTGTTGGACGGCTTGGCAGCCTTTGCAGGGCTGGTCTTGCTGTGTTTTTTGGCTGAGTTCTTCAGCTTTTCCAGCAGTTCTTTCTGCTTTTGGGTAGTCTTGATATAGCAGTTTCCGTCGTCGTCAATGAAGTATTTGTCGCCATCATCCTCCTCTTCACCTGGATCGTAGTCCTCATCTTGTTCCGACTGATCTTCCTCAGAGGCAACAGCAAATCCCTCATGGTCTTCGGTGACGCCGTCCTCGTCTCTGATTGATTTTAGAATCTTGTGCACAACTTTGTCGTCGCTGCCGTCTTCTATTTCCTTGTGGAAACTTTTCAAGAACGACTGCACATCCTCGGATGATTTACGCGACGATTTCGCCATCCTAATAAAGATGAAAACAAACAATTATTTAAACATTTATTTTGTATGGTGCATGGTGGCGACACACAGCGGCCTTTGTGTGTCCGCCCCCCAGCGGATGCCTATTGATTTCCACCAAACTTTCTCGAGCATTAACACTGCTTTCGCTTCAATTCGCATTTTACCTAATCGATTATTGGCTCTAATGTATTTAACCGTTGCCTAAATTGGCTTAAATTAGGTAAATAAATACGCTTAAAACACTTTTTATTCTTTGCTAACAAATTCCGTCAGAGTAGCAGCTGCGCATTTTTAATAAAAGATGGCGACAAGTCGCATCATAAGCAGGGTTGATTCCACATTTTTACTAAGGCGCTCCCTCACTTGTATCGATACTATCGAACGAAACCCGAGCTACATCGCAAGCAGCTGCCGATTCCCGCGCATTTTTCTCCCAAAATCTTGGTTTTTTTCGCTATTTGGTTTTCACTCGCATTAAAACCACCGTAGCGGCAGGAATCTGCCACAAAAGTGTCCTTGAGATATCCGGCATAATTTCCATTGTGAGTGCCTAGCAGCACAAGTAGTGGTAGGCAGCGTCCATAACCTTATATTTTGTTTGTAAATTTTTTCAGTGTTAGTTTCTGTGACTAAATTTGTGAAATAAAAGAGATTATTTTGCGCATCAACATCACAAACAAAGAATAATGCCGCGACGCAAGGCCGTAACCAACAACAACAATGCCGGCGAGGCAGACGACCAGCCCACTGCGGCAAAAAAGGCGCGCACTGTTTTCATGCTGGAACTACCCAAGCGACGCCAGACTGCAGGCAGCGTGCTGGTATGCGGCACGGGCGACACTGGGCAGCTTGGATTGGGCGAGGATATACAGGAGCGTAAGCGGCTTTCCGTGGTGGAGAATATCCCAAATCCTGTGGATATTTGCGCTGGTGGCATGCACAGCCTCGTGCTGACGAAGAGCGGGGACATCTACTCTTTCGGCTGCAACGACGAGGGCGCCTTGGGACGCAGTTCCAGTGAGGACGGCAGCGAGTCGTTGCCCGCTTTGGTCGACTTGCCCGGCAAAGCGCTGTGCATTTCGGCGGGAGATTCGCACTCTGCGTGCATATTGGAAGACGGCAGCGTGTATGCCTGGGGATCGTTCCGCGACTCGCATGGCAATATGGGCTTGACCATCGATGGCAACAAGCGCGTTCCCGCTAACCTTTTGCCGGGAACTGTATGCTGCAGCATTGCCTCGGGCTCCGATCACTTGGTTATATTAACCACCAAAGGAAAAGTGTTTACAGTCGGATGCGCTGAGCAGGGTCAGCTGGGACGCATTTCACAGCGTTCAGTGGGCGGAGAGGGTGAGTTTTTATATTCCCACGTGTGTGTGGTTGTAAAAAATTACAAACCATTTTGTTTTCCTACCACCAGGTCGCCGGGGCAAGCGCGATCTACTTCGACCGGACGAGCTAATACTGAAGCGTACCAAGCCGTTCGAGGCCATATGGGCCACGAATTACTGTACTTTCCTGCGGGAATCACAAACAGAGACTATCTATGCCGTCGGCTTGAACAACTTCAAGCAGCTGGCGTACGAGAAGGATGTGGAAGTGGTTTTGTATCCCATTGCGAGTAAGCTGAAAGACATCAAGCAGATTACTGGCGGTGTCCATCATACACTATTTCTGAAGAGCGATCAAAAGTGTTATGCCGTTGGTCGGCCAGAGTATGGACGCTTGGGCCTGGGCGAAAAGGCTGATGTGGTGGACCAATTAACGCCCGCTAATAAGCTGTCGGACAACATTGTCCATGTGGGATGTGGCGAAGTCTCTTCGTATGCAATCACTGAAGACGGCAAGCTATATTCTTGGGGCATGGGCACCAATTACCAGCTGGGTGTAGGCGATGGCGACGATGAACTGGAGCCGGTTCTTGTCAGCAGCAAGAACACACAAAACAAGAAGATGCTGCTTGCATCGGGCGGTGGCCAGCACGGTCTGTTCTTGGTTCAGGCTGATGTGAAGGAGCAAAAGGAAAATGTGCCAACAGCAGGCACGAGCGTCAAGAAGGACAATGCTCCTCTTCTCGCTACGACTGCAACCGAGGAAACAGCAGCCAACTATAAAACTCCACCGAAAAAGGCCGCTGCTAAGCGAGGAGCAGCTGCTGCAGCAAAGGAGGAAAGCGAAATAGTTATTGCAGAAGCCACAAGCACCAAGAGTGACACGAGTCCTACTCCTCCATCGCCAACTTACCCCAAGGAAACTGCCAAGGGTGGTGTTTCAAAATCTAAAACTCCACCGAAGAAAGCCGCTGTCAAGCGAGGAGGATCCAAAAAGAAGTAAAACTTAAGAATAATTCAATAAAAGTTGACTACACCCAATTTGTTTTTGGTCGCATTTAGCGGCTCCCTACGCTTATCCTAATTAAGAAATGTTTACGCCTGATCCCGAAATTTCCGAGACACGATACATATTATTGTTTATATCAGAAAATAGTTGTATGGTAAATTTTTGTTTTCCGTTTGTGTATCTTGGAAATCCAACGATTGGCGATAGATTCCTAATAAAACAAATGATTTGTTTAAATAATTTGATAACGCTCGATTTGTACAAAACATTAGTAAAATTTTGTATTTAAATATTGAAATGAAACAAGTCTCGATTTGTTTTACTTACTAATTAACTGTTTTACTCCGTAATGTTTTCAGGTTTATAATTTACAAAAGAGAAATATGATATATAAAACTATAAATTCTTGGCTCAAGCGGGGAGAAAGAGATTGCTGATGGGGGATCAGGGGACAGGTATTTAATATAAGAGGCAAGCTAGGATCAACCATTTACTCATAATTGAACATCATATAACTGGAATTTTGTACGCATTTTAAGCATATTGTACATAGTCGATAGTGATTTTGGCATTACTACAAATAACACGGCTGTCGTTGATTGCCTTCGGCGACGCCTGCATTGAGTGTAGCTAGGGATGTTGAATCGGCCTGATTTTCGTCGTAGGTATCGCCCAGGTAGAAGCTGACGAACAGGATGCCGCATAGCAGTGAGAGCGAGAGGAAGACACGCATAAATTTGCGTGCAAATGCAATGAGACCAAGCAGATAACCGCCGCCAGCTACACCGCCGCTTAGTTGATGTCCGCTGCAGCTGCGCCTCAGTTGCAGCTGGGCCTGGATGAGGGCCTCCAAACAGTCAATGTAGTCGGCATCGCTGTAGTCCAGTCCCAGGTCCATCAAATCAAAAGCACATGCGCAGTTTTCTAGTTCGTGGCAGTTGTTGCTATTAATGCTTTTTTGATTGGCATTCTCATCCTGCTTGGTCAGATTACAAGGGAACAGTAAATATTATTTGCGCTTAGCGGAGCAAAAAGCGGCAGATTGGCCGGAACCTGCACCAGGGTAATAATGGACATAATATAGAAACCCGACAGCAGCAGACAGCCCCAGTAGCAGTAGCAAGTTCAAATACTGTATGCGATTGCCATTATTTACGCTCCTGGACAGTGACTTGACCTGGGCCTGCAACTGCAATAAAACGGGTTACCACACAATCGTTTACTGGTTGCCGAAAGAAATAGCTTACGTCCAATTTTCCGTCTTTTCCACAGCCCAAAGAGGTTTCGCTTGCTATCTTGTCGCAGCACTTGGCCGTCATATCTTCAAAGCGACATACCAAACGATGCTGCTCTACATCCGGCCCATCTGTGCACGCGTTCCGCCACAGGTCAGTCACATCTGCTCCAGCACAGTGGCCGGGGGCTAGCATGGCCATCACCAGGAATTTGTCTTTGCTATCTCCTCTCAGCTTGTATTCCGACTTGAGCCAAATACTTATTTCGGCTTTCTCATTGGGAGATATGATGCCGCATCGTGGACGCACGCGGAACTTTTCTGGCGATGTGGTCTGTATCTGAATATATAAAGAAAGATTCAATCAACGCTAAGGGGCTAGGGACGAAACAAACTCACCTTAAAGGTCACTGGCACTTTGGCGATGGACTTGAAGTGCACCGTGGCCTCCGCATTTTTAGGATCAAAGTTGACAAACTCTTTCTGCTCCAGTTGCAACATGCCTGATAATAAAATTGTATATTATGTGGCTGAGCTATTTAAAATTAATTTAATAAAACGAAAATTTTGGAAACTGCTTGAAAGATTCAACTGAAGTGACGATACATGAAATACTACTATATAAATATGACACTAGAAGCAGTTCATGTGGATTTTCTTAAAAGATTGAATTTGATATGCTTACTCTCTGTTGGGGTGTGCATGTCTCCAATGTTGGACTCCTTCAGCACCATGGGAGCGGTGTTGGCAAAGTGTACCTGTCGATTACAGAAAACAAGTTAGAATGGATGCAATGCTGATGGAACTGCCCTTCGCCGCCCCCGCTTATTCTTTGCGCCATCCTATTCCACCCACTGGCCGGCAGGCTTTTTGTGTCGTACGTGCTTGGCAATGGCGTTTTTCACAAGAGCCTTTCTCCCCTTTTATAGAACCCTTGAGTTCGCATCGACGAAGGTTCCACTTGTATTGTGGAGGCCATCTCGTAAATCGGTTTCATATTGGATTCTAAAACAATCATAGCCGGATGCTGACGGTCAGGACACGACAGCATGACATCTGTGTATGGTCTATCAATTAACATCCGCTTTGTTCTTTACGTAAGTTGTTCTTTGTCATCACTTACGCTTAATTTATATTCAGACAGATTGGTAAATTTTGATTTAATATGCAATGCATTTATTGTATATACGCAATTATTGTATCTGTGATATACCGCAACATACCAAATAGGTGGTTAGATATACTATATTATATACCGATATACAAAAACTCTTAACCCACTCTATTTAAACTAGAGAACAGCATCAGTTAAACCGCTTAAATTGTAAATTCTTCATGTAGATCAATTATTTCTCTTTAATTATTTAATTATTTTAGTATCCATTCTTTCTTCATAAACAATCCAATAAAGGGAAGGCTTGAGAGCAGCCAATCTTGTAGAAAATTGATTCATTAAACGAATACAACTATATTTTTGACGCTGGGAAACCTAGTTGGCTAGTAAAATTAGATCGAATATCAAAATTGAGGAATATGATTTTCAATCAAAAAATATTACCGATAACCCAATGGACCCCCCACAAGAGGACGACCGGCTGCACCGCGTTAGTGAATATATGCAAAGCGTTAGTACATTACTGCCTATCGTAAAAGTTTGTTTGTAGTTCAATTGAAAACGGCTGTACTTTACGTTGGAACCGGTTCTAAAGCTTCGAATAAAGCAAAACACTTGGCGGGACGAAACTTTAAACAATCCGTTCTTTTTTTAAAACTGTGTAAACGGCAGATACAACAATATGCAAGGCGAAGTGTGTGTTGAATTACAATTCGATTCACTTATGGGTTGCATTACACGCATTACACGCATGCACCACATGCGTGGTGCCAATGATCACTCACAAACTCACAGACATAAAACACCATACATACATCGAAAAACTGAGGCCATATGCTAATAGTTCCCGGTAAGTAAGTTTAAAATGATTATACAGGCTTTTATTTAAAACACCGCACAGTGATGTCCAAACAATATAGCGCGAGTTTACCGTACCAAACACACACACATACCAATGCATGCGGTATGTACGTACCCTAGGCATGTTGGCTTAAAAATGAATATCAATTGGGTGTATAACAATGCAGCTTCCGCCTCTTCTCTTGGTTTCTACTTCTCGTTTTTGTTTGTTAGTTACAATTGCACATTAAACACTGCAGATGCACATGAAGACACAGATTTGACACAATTAAACAGCGTAACGAAAAAATGAGGTTGTTTGCGTTGGAATAAAATAAAGACTAGATGATGACGACCGAAACACAAATGAAAAAGCACACAAGAAAAACGACACGAAAGCTTTTGGACACACAGCTGGTCTGGTGGTTGCTCTTCCTCTTCCTCTTTCTCCGTTCTGCGATCAGCTTCTTCCAGCTGTTGCTCGGAACATGAATTGAAACTGAAAGCGAATGAAAGTGCAGTTACAAATGAGTGGGGGTGCAATAAATGTGGATACATAGAAAGCATAGGTGTGTGCGGATGTATGTTGAATGTAGTGTGTAGTTCTGTAGGGGGTACAGGAATACCCTACAAATTATGCCCATATGGCTGTTTTATGTTTTACGGGCCAATGGTTTGCGCTTGGCAGCGCTTCGCTGACCGACGACCCCGAAGGTTTAATAATATGTCAAATAAATGACTATAAATAGCGCCAGTAATGTGTGCCCATACACTGAACGAATCACTGCCGGCGTATCCGTAAAGCAAAAGGCTCATCAGTAGGGCTTTTTCTCTCAGTGTTTGGCAACACACGCAGGACACGCAAGCAGCGCACCCTGAATCAATACACACCGAGAATGTAAATCAATTATGGAGAAAGCTATAGGGACGCTAGCGTGCCAGGTCAGAAAAGCAATTAGAGGACCTCAACATTTTCCGACTAAGTCCAAATGGAACACTCCCAACAGCCGGACAATGTTCGAGATTTTGTTCTGTTTGATGTCTCGTGTGTGTGTGTGTGTTTCCCTTTTTGTTCACTCACCTTCTTGTCGCCGCCCAGGACGAGCTGGTCATCGTCGGTGCTGGTGACTGGCTTTGATGCCTCCACCCGCTTCGTTTCGGCCACAAAGCTGTATTCGTAGTTGTCGCTGCCACCCCAGCTGGCCAGGCAGCTGTCCTTGAGTATATACTGCCCGATGTCCTTTTTCGATATCATTTTCAGAATCTCAACCGCCTTGGGGGGCAGCAAGGCCTTGATGACCTTAAAGGCAGCTAAGGAGTTGAGGCAGAAAGTCTCGGTTAATGTCCAGGTGAAAGTTCAAAGTTGATTGCTTACCGTTCAGCACCCAGGCCAGTTCAAACACCAAAATATAGTTCAAAGCATTGGGGTAGTACATCTTGAAGGTCTCCACAATTTTCTTGACAAAGTCCAGATCCATGGTGGCCAGACCCGTGCCCGCCATGTCAAAGAATATGGTCATCTGGGTCATGTGCTTCTCCCGCTGGGTCCTCTCCACCCAGTAAACCACAATGCGAATTAGTTCGTCCAGACTCTTGGACTTACTGTGCAACCTGACGCGGAAAACCAACAATGGTTTGCCATCCACATCGTTGCTATGCACAAACACGGAACCCTCCTTCAGATACTCCTGGTTCAATTTACTCTCGTCCAGATCGTTTGCCCCGTACGACTGGCGCCAGGCGCAGGTCTCCCAGAGCTTGGTCATGGACACCTCCATATCCAAGTCATACATTTCCAGGAACCGCTGCAGCCAGACATGATCGTTGCGTATGCGATCAATATCAACAGGATGGAATGGAGCTGGTAAGGGGTATACAGTTGAATGTTATTGCAAGCTGATTTCTGTTTATATGATAGCAAACGAGAACCCCAAAGGGTTTGCCATCTACTCTGATTTTCTCTTCTAATCTCTGATTGCATAGCAATTATTTGCTTATGAAATATAATCTCTTTTTATACGCGAGCGATAAGCTAAGAACGCAGCTGGGCTCGTTTTGATCTCAGTTTTCGTTGGCATCACCTGAGCAATGATTACTCATGAACCTCAAATTACAGGTCTAGTTGATTCGACGCCCCATTCTATATTTAACTAATTAAGTAGACATTGCTTGATTTCCCAGTTCATACAAATGCAGCCTTTCAGTGAATTGCAGTGAGATCTGTACAGTGAGTATGTTTATTTAGTTGAACAAAAATGTCCGGTAAAATATACAGATGATCTGAGCGACTCGTTTTGCGCTACGGGGTACTGCTAGTATAAACAAAAGATTCACCAAAAACTGTTGCTTCTAGTTGCTATACAGTAAAACCTGTATATATGGGATATACATTTAAGTATACAATTTAAGCTAAAACACATAAAATCCATTAGTCACAGACACTTGACTACTTATGTTTGTACGTTGCACTTTGTATCTGGCTAGTACTTCAAAGTACATTTTATCTCACCTGCTGGCGGTGTTGTGGCATATTTGGCTTTGAACCTTTCACGCAGTTCCTCAATCTTTTCCGGTGTCACCTCCTTGACCTTAATGCCCATGTTGTGAACGGTTAAAAACTCGGTTAAAATGCGCACTCGAAACCAGCAACGACTGTCGACCAACTAAACATTGAACTCTCCTCTCGGCAAACACTATTTCTATTCCAGTGCTTTATCCTAATCGCGTTTCTGTTTCTAATCTGGATGTAGTCGCAAACCACTTTCGCTGCCTGCTATAGTATGCGATTAGATTTCAGACTGCCAATCAATATTATTGTTAACCGAGAGCTGTGTGCAAGTGAGTGCCACGAGCGCGTGCAGGCAACTGGCTAACGGTGTCGACAGTGGGCTATCAACGATCGCCAGTAGTTGGGCACTCGTTGGGAGTCCACTGGCGTGCGGGGTGAATGTGGAGCAGCACCACAATACACTCGATTGGTTGGGAGGCTTCCCAAAAGGGCAGTAGCAAGCCCCCGCCTCTGTCCCACCGCCAGCCCGCGCCTCTGCAATAGAACGTGATCGTGGGGGCGAGCAAATGCTCAGCTGCATTTCAATTAGCTTCGAGACAAAGCTTCACTCAGCTTTTTTTTTCAACGATTTGGAAAGCTTGTACTTTGGATGGGTTTTGGAATAGGGAAACCATCGGTAATGAGTCAGTAATTAGTAGTTCTGGCAATAAATATCGTATTATTTACACACTCTTATACAGTTTAGGGTTTTTTATGTGAGTTTGTTTCTAGGCGAATTTGTACGCGTACTCGTCATTGCCGCCCCACAGCGCCAGGCAGTTATCCTTGTCCACATACTCGGTGATATCCTTTTTGGTGGTCACGCGCAGAATCTCTAGGGCTTTGGCGGGCAAGAAGGTCTTGACAAGTTTGAAGGCAGCTGAAGGCAAATATTTGGATTACTTCATGTACAATATCTTAAAAAAAGAATCTCTAAACATACCATTTAGCAGGAAGGGCAGCTCGTGCACCAGGATATAGTTGGGCACGTAAGGATACTTTGTCTCAAAAAGATTAACAATGTTCTTGATAAAGTCGATGTCCATGTTGCCCAGCCCGGAGCCAGTCATGTCCATGAAAATGGTGATCTTTTCAAGGTCATTCTCACGGTGAATGCGCTCGATCCAATACACGACAAGGCGCAGGAGATCGTCCATGTTCTTGCTCTTTGAGTGCTTCTTTATGCTGAGAATGAGCAGCGGCTTGCCATCCTTGTCCTTGTTGTGTGCATAGATCGAACCATCGTGCAGATACTCCTGGTTTACATTGCTCTCGTTAATGCTGTACACGCCGTAGCTCTGGCGCCAAGCCAAGTTTTCCCAGAGTCTAGTGAGGGTCTTCTCCACATCGAGGTCAAAGGCCTCCAGCAGCTTTGTAATCCATAAATCGCTGTCAGTGATGCGTTTCAGATCCTCAGGAAGGAAGGCATCTAAGGAAGAGACACGATTAGGATTGCTGGACATGCAAATTGTTGCGCCCTTTGCTCTCTTACCTGCTGGCGGCTCTGACTTCAGTTTCTGTAGAAACTTTGTCTTCACTTCGGCAACCTGTTCGGCTGTTGGCAGTACTCCTCTGGGCATTTTGCTTCTTGTGGCTCTACCGGCTGAATGAATGATCGCTGACCGGTGTTCCTTCGATTTATACCAGATAGTTTTCCACCAAATGGATTGGCTTTGGCTTCCTTATCGCTTCCGCTGCTGCTAGAACTTGGACTTGGACTTTTCGTAGTACTTCAGTAGAATGATCTTTCCAGTGTGCGGGCTAATCAGCGACTGACAGCCACACTCGCGCTCACGACTGTGCACTCTGGTCCGCTTGTTGCGCTGCGATCATGTAAATGACTCAATGCGGGTGGGGGGCAACGAGCAGTCGCGGGCCTGTTCTTTAATCAATATAAAATACAACACAGCCCGCAGCGAAAGCGAGATAGTGAGAGTGTACGATACTGGTCTGGTCTGTGCTGGGGGTAGAGAGAAACCCCCGCCCGTCAATTGCGATAAGCAGAGCACACAGACCCCACCTACCGTCAGAGTCTTTGGGGGCCGCTGCTCCGTTCCTAATGGAAGACTTTGGGTATCGGTTTTTATTATCGCCGCTGCTGTGGTTTGCCTCTTGGATATATTGTCTGACTTCTAAGGGAACGTACAATAAATTTTGGAGAGCTATTGATTTAGTTTGTGGAAATTCTTTGTGGTTTTACTTCGAATCGATATGACAAGCTAAGTTTACTGAGATCATTTTATGTGCCCTTTCAGAGGGTACATTTCTGTATTTGAGCTTTTCTTCTATCATATAAGATTTATTAAGAGTACTTGGATTAATCAGCTAAACTGATTAAACGTGCTCAGATAAAGCCACTTTTTATATGACTCAAACCAGGATTCGCATTGCTGATTGCAGCAGCTGCATGGGAGCCCGATTAAAACAGTATACAACCATAAATGGTGGGGATGTATTTATAACTATCAGATATAGAAAAGTTTCACATTAATCTGAGTATTACTAAATGCTTAGCCAGTCCGAAGGTTTGCCCAGAACAAGATTATATTCGCAATTATTGCTCGTACCTCTAGTCGTACTCATTTATGTTCATTTTAATGGCCATTGCTAATTGCTTGGAAAATTGTTGGGTTAAAGGAAATAGGTTGATATTTTGTAGCAACTACAAAAAATATTCATTGGGAATTATATCTATTATTTATGCTTGCAAGCCGCATATCGATTTGGTTAATTTAATCAATTTTGAAGTCAATATTTTGAATAAGCTTTTCTGTTCATTGTTGACATTGAAAATGGTACCGAGCAGCGCGGCAATAACAAAGCGAAAAGTAAAATTTACATATCGAAAAAGAGCTTTCCCTGTTTGATGCCTTTGGACCAACATCCAAGAACTTTTGCCCCAGTTGTGATGTTTACGTGAAAACGTGCGTTTGGAGAGCCAACGTCCTCGCTCTGGTTCGCGTTCCCCCGTTCTGTCCGATGCGGATGCAGTGCAGCATTTACTGATATCATCATCACAAGATGAAGTTCGCCGAGCATCTGACGGCCCACATAACGCCCGAGTGGCGTAAGCAATATATCAGCTATGAGGTAAAGACCACAACATTTCTCCTTATCCGATCCAAGTGCGGAAAAATCTGTATCTGTGTGGCATGGGTGTGCTTTTTCTGGCTGTCATCTGGCTCTACCTCCTGTCACTGACAGCTTTCGGCGCGCGCGGTAAAACTGGCGCAGGCGCAGAGCTGTCAAATCCGATAGCTTTTTGACACAGTGTCTCTTCTGTTGTGCTTGCCTTGGACGTAAACAAAAGGCAAAAAGAGGCCAAAGAGTAGATGAAGGAGAGCAAACAGAGCAACATTTATGCACACGAACAGTGAGTGGGAAAAGTTCCCCGACCAACTGTTTCCACTGGCAGCGATGTATCGGATTGTGGCGAAATTGTATATGTAAAAATATGTAAAGTCCTGAAATTGAATATTTTTATAGGAAATGAAGGCCATGCTGTATGCCGCCATCGAGCAATCGCCATCCGCAGAGCTGGTGGAGCGTGAAATGGTCACGAGGTACTTTGCCAAGTTCGATGAGGAATTCTTCCACTACTGCGACCGGGAGCTGGCCAAGATCAACACATTCTACTCGGAGAAGATGGCCGAGGCCACACGCAAATATGGCAATCTGCGCAGCGAACTGACAGAAGCCCTGGAAATGGGTCATCCAAAGAAACTGCCGGCGTGGAAACGACGCACGCCGCTGGGCAAGAAGAATGTGCCCGCACGCAAGTTACAGGATCTCAAGTTGGCATTTAGCGAGTTCTATCTGGGCCTGATACTGCTCCAGAACTATCAGAATCTCAATTTCACGGGTTTCCGCAAGATCCTCAAGAAGCACGACAAATTGCTGAGCGTGGACTATGGGGCACGATGGCGCACCGATCATGTGGAGGCGGCGCATTTCTATACGAACAAAGACATCGATCGGCTCATCCAGGAGACGGAGCAGGCCGTCACGCAGGACATCGAAGGCGGTGATCGGCAGCGGGCCATGAAGCGACTGAGAGTGCCGCCCCTGGGTGAACAGCAGAGCCCGTGGACCACCTTCAAGGTGGGCCTCTTCTCCGGCGCCTTTGTGGTGCTCTTCATAACGGTTGTGATTGCCGCCATGTTCTACGGCTTTGGCGAGAACTGGCGCGTGGGTCTTCGAATGTTCCGTGCTCCATTCCTCATAATCGAGTGCCTCTTCCTCTGGGGCGTGAATGTCTATGGCTGGCGCTCTTCGGGTGTGAACCATGTGCTGATCTTTGAGCTGGATCCGCGCAATCACCTGTCCGAGCAGAACATCATGGAGGTGGCCTCGGTGTTCGGTGTCATCTGGGCCTGCTGTGTGCTCAGCTACATCTTCTGCGATCCGCTGGGCATTCCACAGTATGCGGCACCCTTGATACTCTACACTCTGATGGCTGCCTTCCTGCTGAATCCCACCAAAACGTTCCATCACGAGGCTCGCTACTGGGCGTTGCGAGTTCTCTTACGCGTGATCATGGCTCCGTTTTGCTTTGTGAATTTCGCGGACTTCTGGCTGGCCGATCAGCTGAACAGCATGGTGCCAGCCTTTCTGGATATACCCTTTTTGATATGCTTCTTTGGTCGCAGTCCCACATGGCAAAAGGCAGGAAAGGGTAAGCAGCCGACCCATGTCCTTGTTGGGAATTAACTCTGATTGTTGTCTTATTCCCTCCCCTAAGCTGGCAGCCACTGCGTGGAATATGTCTCCCTGCTGCATCCCATTGTGGCCATTCTGCCAGCGTATTTCCGTTTCGCGCAGTGTATACGTCGATATCGTGACACGAAAGAGTCATTTCCGCATCTGGTCAACGCAGCGAAGTATGCCACATCATTCTTTGTGGTAATTTTCGCCCACAAATATCATACGACAACGGGTAAGTGGATTCATTATACGAGTTGCCACGAGTTCATTAGGACATGTCCAAACGGACAAACACGCACAGGCCACTGGCCACTGGCCACAAGCCACCACACTTGATGCGTGTTGTTTACGGTCCGTTGCCAATTAGAGCCATCTTCATGGTCAGCCTCAAAATTCATGTAGATTTTATTTGGCCTTCAAGCACGTAGCATCTCGCTCCCTCTCATGCTCTCTTACTGTCCCACTGATTTGCAGATACCTATCCACTGTCGAAGGAGAATCCATGGTTCTATTGCTGGATTACGGCAGCAATTTTCTCCTCCTGCTACGCCTACACATGGGACATAAAAATG